AAAGCTTTATTTATTGATCGGACCTACGAGAGTCTGCAAAATGTTCCTGTGCTCCGTGCACAGTTCTTAAAAAAGCACTTCGGTATTGTGCATGTTCTAAAAAAAAATATAAAACCAAAAAAACAGTAAAAAATAAAAATAACAAAAAAACAAAAAAAGTAAACGGGCACACCAAGTGGTGTAGCCGAGGTGGAAGCCGAAAGTTTGCACACACTTTTAAAAATTATAATTCTTCTGATAAATCATCTTCTTCCATCAAGGAAGCTGTTGTTAAACCATTTGCTAAGCCGTTTACAAGGCTGCAAAAATTTATTATGGAGACTTGGATCGACAAGATGAAGAGTGGCAAAAATGTAACGTCGATTAAAAAGGAAGTCGAGGAATTTAAAATAAATGTAGTAATTTTCAGAAGTTAATTTCCAAATACAAGTTGGCAATGGAGCAGGAAAAACTGAAGATTGAAAATAAAAATAAACTAAACACTAATGGTTTGGTGAACAACCAAAACCAAGGTGATACAAAAAGTGGTTTACATAGCCATAAGGACAGCATCACTTTCATGGGTGAGTGCAGTGACAAATCTCATCACGATGATCAGTCATCAGATGATCGTCTTGCCGGTGGCGATGGATCTGATGAAAGTACTGATAGTAACGGCTATCATGTACAAAGTGAAACAGCCGAGCACTATGCTGGTGAGCTCAACCATATTTGTGCAAATTGTATGGCAATGCACTTTAAAGACGAGGCTCACCGTAGACGTGCGTACAAGAGCTGCTGTCACTTCGGCAAGCTAGCCTACACACCACGAGATAGCTATCCAGAGTATCTCAGATCGCTGTTCACCGATACAGCAAGCAGCGATCATAAAAACTTCAAGACCAATATACGATCGTACAACAGTGCCCTGTCGTTTGCGTCAATGGGTGCAAATGTGGAGCAATTCACACGAGGAGTGTATTTCTTCAAGGTGCATGGTCAGGTCTACCACAACACATACAACATAAACCCGCTTGAAAACACTAACAGGAGATACTCGCAGTTGTATGTGATTGATACAAACGATGCCACAGATCTGAGATCGAGAAATCCTGCAAATGAGAAGTGTGACAGAGCAATACTACACAATCTTGACAGGACAATAAGAGAAGTCAACCCGTATGCTGAAGTTGAGAGAAATGCAGTGCGTGAAGGAAATATGTTGATGGTGAATGTGGTGTTCAACAAGAACATTCATCGTGACATGAACAGGTACAATGTTCCTACAACGGGCGAGATCGCGATGATATTCAGCGAAACACAGCTGCCATTCATACTCAAGAGAAGACAGTTTCTGGCTCTTCTTTCGTTTGCGATGACAATCCACAAGTCACAGGGCCAGTCATTTGACAAGGTAGGTGTTTATCTGCACAGCTCTGTCTCTGTGCATGGTCAGTTGTATGTAGCTCTGTGGAGAGTGCACTATGCAAACGGTCTAAGGGTGTATGTTGCTGACAATGGACACCAAGGAAAGCGTGAGAATGGTAAAGTATACACAAGAAATGTTGTGTACAATGAGCTACTGGAATGAAAGTGATTTATTGATTTTGTAACCACAAAACAGTTAGTAGAAAGGAATGACCTGATGTTGCAGTTGTATTCAAAAGCGCTATTTTGGTATACTATCCATTCATACACCCGTTTTGAAAAACGGGATAGCACTGCTAGTAAATCATTAAAATCATTATTACGATAACACTATGATTGCGCTTTTAACAATGTATTACCACAAATATAGAAAATGAAAAAAAGTGGCCGTTAAGTTAATGGCTGATATAAACTGCAGCTTGTGACCGTGCGGTATCGTATTGTGCTGCAGGTTCTGACTTACGTAGAAGGATGTAATGCATAAATTTATGCAATGCACAAGTTCTGTTCTTTAAATAAACGCATTCAACACAAACCACAAAAACAAAACACCACCCTCTTACTTTACCCCCTCGCATGCATAAAGTGATAATAATCGGTAGTTCACCAGCAGCATACACAGCTGCGCTGTACACCGCAACAGCAAATCACAAACCTGTTCTTTTAATGCCCTCCGTTACGTACAACATAAGAAATTACGAAAAGATTGCTGGGCTGCCCGGTATGACGAAGGATAAATTTGGATGTTTGATGCGTGCACAATTGGAACGATTTGGGGTGGAAATGCGTGTGGTTGAGAGCGTTGAGGTTGTTACGGGAAATGGGGTGGATGATGAGGGTAAGGTAGATGAGGATGGTGTGGATGCGTATGGGGTAGACGAGGTGGAAAATGAACAGCGCATAAATGACAAAGTGTTGAGGGTAAATGGAGAAAAATGCTTGGCATTGATAATTGACCATGATATCGGCGTAAACATGCATAGCGTGTTTACATGTGGTGGTGATGAAGCAATTATTGCCATAGGAAGTGGTTGCATGGCTGCTATCAAGTGCAACGAATACATCGAAGGAAATTGGAAGGAATGATCGGTGTTAGTGCATAAATATTCTTATTCGGTTATGCATTTAAAATATTTGTTTTTTATGGTTTCGTATGTTTTTCTGTTCATTTTCAGGGTTACCACTATTGTGTTAGCCTTCTACACGCTGTCATGGTGCATTGCACGGTACAGAACGTAAATCGATACGTATTTTATATCTTGTTCTACACACCGTACTATACTTAAATTGGTACGTTTTGTTCAACCTACATTCCGGTATTATCCACCATTTGATGCGTACTTCACATGCCGTTCTTATACCGTGCTGTAGAACGTAATCATCAGAATGGGTATGCGTAATTTATGCATATTTGATCAGTGGAGAGATAACACCTGATCAGTACGCTCATAATAAACGTAATTAAATTAGCGGTACGACCTCAAACATTACTATTAAATCGGTAATACACAGCAACAGTGCTACTATAATGTTACTGTTTATGCGTAATAAGCTTGTTTAAATAAATAAAATATTAATGCGGTCTAGAACGCTTTTCAAAAAAAGTATAAAAAGACAAGCACTGCGCATTTATAACTAACGATCCTTTATTCCTCTTCCTTGGGCCTCTTCAGCACCTTAACCTTGCTAACAAAGCAGTTTTGCAGCGGATAGATCAAACTGCCCATCTCCTCTATCCTTTTATCAATTTTATCACTTGCGATCTTCTTGACAATCTCAACCACGCTCTGCCCATCCATCTCTTCCTTTACGACATCAAACATTGCCTTGCGTATTTCCTTGACCTGACTGCTTTTCGCATAGCAGTGCTTTTTAGTCAATGCTGCAGACTTTTTCGTGACCGCAACGGTAAATATACGCAGCTTGACATCATCGCTTGTTGTTACGTCCGAAACAGCTTCAATCAGCGTGTGCCACTTTCGTACTATCCCTTTCTGCTTATCGGTGGTAAGTTCCATGCCGTTGAACACGCCCTTCAGGTCCCTGCCCACCAGCTTAGTACATACGAACTTGTACTTGCGGAACGTGCCATCACCCTGCAATTCACCCTGATTCACCTCAAACACACGACCACGCAGCTTTCGTTCCGTTATTGCCGCCGTACTCTGCTTCGTTAGTATGGTTGTACCCACGTTTGTTGTCATGAACATAGACGATGGCACAGTCAGGTTATATGTCTCTTTTTTGGTGAATGAGTCCTTCTCTTTCTTCTTAGATTGCTTTTTTGATGCTTTGTGCAGCTTCTTATTGTCTGCTTTTATTGCCATTTATTTTTAGGGTACAAAAATTTTTATGATAAAGTGTTGGTGGAGCAAAAGGTACGTATTTTGAATGGGGGTGTTATTGCTGACGTGATGCTGGTGCAACGTGAATTAAGTGTTGCAAGCAGTGCATTTTAATAGCGGTACTATAAACTGTTATTGAACGGTTTCAAAATACGATTTCAAGGAAGTATACGGCATTTACAGGCACGTATTACTCCGCTTAATGCAAACATTGTTAACACGTATTAATAGAATTATCATAAAGCAATACATTGATCATAGCGGTACACACAATAATAACGCATCAACACGTACTACTATGCTGTATTTTATCATTAAGTAATACGCAAAGATGATGTTATCAAAGACATATGCTATAACAGAACAGCAATAATTATCACATTACGACAATGCCATCAAAAATATATACAATGGTAAAACAGCAACACATCAAATCATACATCCTTGTACACCACAGTCTCTCTAAACAATGCTGGTGCCACATTATCAATACGTACAATGAACCAGTGTTTGAACAATAATCGTTAAAGTTGAGTAACAGTACTTCAAAGAAGACAGTCCATACAACAATTGTTAGAATAGAATGTTGTTCAATTTGGTATTTGTTTGGAAAGATTCGTTTCTTTCGCAACAGTACACGCTCTACATAACAAATAACAGCATAGAACCATTTATCAAGATAAAATATCGAAATGATTTACAGGAAAATCTATCACTCATAATTAGCTCACACTAAGAGTACGTATCATAACAGCAGTGCACCCTTACCGGTATTACAAATCACGTGATGTCTGATTGTGAGTAACAGAAAGTTAGTAAGGCTTTACGTACACTCATCATGATCTATATGAATGTACCTATCGGTGTATTCTACTCATTTGTATGAGTAGAGCACATTCATGCTACTTAATACAATTTATGTTGTTGATATGGTAGGGTAGATTTGTTACCACTTTGTGTATTTACTTATCTCCAATCACACGATAATTGTCACCGTATGTAAAAACGGTACTACGTTAAAAAGGAGCAGTCACGGTGATATAAAAGAGCATCAACAATGTATTGGTGCAGGGAATGATCTCAAATAGAGGGTAATACCTTTATTAGTGCATATCTTAGTATTGATGATTTTATTGGTGTTTTTCAGTCCCTTTAAACATGTTTTGGTGTAGATGGCGTGTTGCTGTAATGATTAGGTACTCCTAATCATTGCCAATACTTTACTTACCTGTCCAAGTAATTAGAAATACCACACCGTATCACAATAGATTAACGAGGAAGAGCAGTTCATTGCTCGTACTTGTAATGAATAGTACGTGTTATACCATCATCTTCTTGCAATAGCTGTAATACATTCGGTTATGGTTAGAAGTTCAAAAAGAAATAATGTTCTATTTATAGATTGAAATGATTAATTGTGGCAGGAACTGCTTTTGATTGGTATGGAATGGTTATATCGTACCGCTGTAGTAGGAACAATACTATAATTGGAATAGTATTACTTAAATGGGAATATTACCATTATAATGAAAATGGCAGTATATAATGATATGATCTGCCATAACAAACATAATACCATTTATTGCATTGTTCTACAACAAGTGATGCTAACATCACTCCCTTTTCACTATCAGTACCTTTTTATCATCTCACCAATGACACATCAAACCTTTCTCCTTTACTTCCCTATAAATAGAAAAAGAACGAGTGCAACCCATGCATATAAAACCATCAAGCGCTCACAAGAAAGAAAAAGTTGAAAAAGACAAACTCACCATCGACATAACACTCCCTGAGCATGTCACCATGAAGGACGTAATGCTGCAATACACGGATAATTCTTACCGCATAAAATACGCCAGAGGATATGAAAATGAAAAGGATGGCGGTTGGTATGCGTGTGCTGTTTCGGGATGCATTGAGGGTACGTTACCGTTCAAGATTAAGGAACCGGTGTGCGTGGCTAAGGATGGCGGGTTCTCGCTTGTTTTCAAGAGAGGAAGTGATATTGCTAATCAGTTGAAGAATGTTCGCATTATTGAGTTATGTGCGGATAAGAAGGATAAGGAAGCGATTTGTGGCACGTGTGGACAGGGAAAGAAGGATGATGAGATGAGGAGTGGAGAGAAGGGTAGTAAGGTGAGTGGTATGAAGAAAGGTGAAGAGAGTGTGACTAAAGATGAGAAGAAAGGAAAGGTATGTGCTGGTGAAGTGTGCAAGGACGAGAAGGGAAAGGTATGTGCTGGTGAAGTGTGCAAGGACGAGAAGGGAAAAGTGTGCAAGGACGAGAAGGGAAAAGTATGCGATGAGAAGGGAAAAGTATGCAAGGACGAGGTGTGCAAGGATGAGAAGGGAAAAGTATGCGATGCAAAGGGAAAAGTGTGCAAGGACGAGGTGTGCAAGGACGAGAAGGAGCGTAAGAACAAGGAATGCAAGGATGAAGAGTGCAAGAGCTGCTGTGATAAGAACAAAAAGGAGGAAATTAAGAAGAAGGAATAGGAGATTTAAGTAAAAGTACCTTTGAAAAGTTGAACCTGTCAGAACATTTTTGTTAGGTTCATATTACACAACCATTCAGGTAATCGCACTCATTACCAAATGAATGTTTTTTTTACCATTTATTGCGTATTTTGTGCTCATTTTCTTACGTTCCATTCTTTGTACTCACGCGTGGGCTGAAGATGTAAAAATAATTTTATTGCGCATAGAGCGATGGGGATGTGGCGTATGAATGAGCAGTTGTTCGGCAGATGCTTGAAGTGGTGGGGTAAGAGTTGAGAAGGCTTGCACCACAGCATTGCTGTAGGTTGGTGACCAGTACGATCATTTACTCCGCTACCAGCCCAAATTATCGCACCCTGCACTTCATCCTTGATCAGTGATTGTTCCACGGCCTTATCTCCTCCTTGCTGTAGAAGTCCATCTCCTTTATCCTCTCGTTAAACACTTCATACGCACACAGCATGAACGTGCCGTAAAGATGCCCCCAATCGATGCTAAGCCGTGGACAGCACACCTGCACGTACCCTTCAACGAACGGAAACCTTAAATTGCTCTCCTTCACCTCCTCCATATTAAACACGTACACCTCCTTTCCCATACGTACAAGCGCGTCGTGCACGTTGTCCACGATACGGCTGTTGCCCTGCGCACCGAGTGTGCCGTTAATTATGCCCACTGTTCTTGAGCGCATGAATGCACAGCGCTGCTGTGCACGTACGCGGTGCATACGTGCATGATCGTAGTGCTCGCGGTACATGCGCTTGTTGAACGGGCAGTACCGGAAGAATCGCACGGTTGGATTTGCGATCATCAGCGATTCGAGGTGAAAACGGCCATCGCTTATGAACACCACGTTGGGGGTGTGCACCTTTGGACTTGTGCAGCCGAGCACTTCCCCGGTGCTTAGGGGCTTTACCTGGTAGGTGGGCAGGTTGAACATTTTGTTGAGTTTGTATACGATGTGGCGGTATTGCACTGTTCCTAGCACTGTGATTGATTTGTTACACGTGGTTGGAGTGCTTAAGATGGTAGAGGTGGTTGAATTGCTATTACCACCCTTCTCTTTGTTCCCATATCTGCCATTCACCTCGCTCATCATTTTCTTGCCATTCTCTTCACCCCTCTCTTCACCCCTCTCTTCACCCCTCTCTTCACCCCTCTCTTCACCCCTCTCTTCACCCCTCTCTTCACCCCTCTCCTCACCCTTCTCTTCACCCTTCTCCTCACCCTTCACCTCACCCTTCACCTCACCCTTCACCTCACCCTTCACCTCACCCTTCACCTCACCCTTCTCTTCACCCTTCTCCTCACCCTTCACCTCACCCTTCACCTCACCCTTCTCTTCACCCTTCTCTTCACCCTTCACCTCACCCTTCACCTCACCCTTCTCTTCACCCTTCTCATTACCGCCCTCTTCACCCATCTCCTCAATCATCCGTCCCACCATTCCTTCCAAATGTTCGCTCTCAAAAAACACGTCCACAAAAACATAAAGCACCTTCACCCCACATCCCACAATACAGGAATGTCCATAATGCACAATCAGCTCAACATCCGCATCCGTATCAACGCAGCACGCTCCATAAACAACATCAGCAAGTGTTACCACACGTGCTGTGGTGTTACCCTCAATTGCATCCGACAGAATGGTGCTGTACTTTAACAGACCATCCGGCAATTGCAGGCCCACCTTTTGCACGTTGTGGCGTGCTATGGTTGATAGCACTTTTTTGAGTTCGAAGTTGTAGTTGGGAGGTAGCAGAGAGAGGGGATGGGCGAGGTTGGGAAAGTGGGTAATTGGTTTTGATAGTTTTACCATTGGGGTTGGTGCTGGGAGGGGTGATATAAAGAATGAGGAGAGAGAATGAGGAGAGGAATGAGGAGAGGAATGAGGAGAGAGAATGAGGAGAGAGAATGAGGAGAGAATGAGGAGAGAGAATGAAAATTATTACCATGATATGGCAATCACCCCATAGAACGTGCCATCATTTAATTACGGCACGTGTACGCTGCATAGGATTAAAGTGCTGGTACATCGCTGCTGATCATGCATCACGCTCAAACACCTGGCACGGATATGCGCAGCGTACCCGGCCTGAAATAAACGCAGGAACGTGCTTAATCAATAAATTGATATTTTGACATTATCAGCGATTAGAAAGAGAAGGACGTGCTCTCCGCATTTACCATGCCGAGCACCGCTCTGTTCTGTGACCGTTTCTGGCTACGTTTGAACGCCGGGATGATAACCGAATTGATGCGCTGTGCCATTCAAGCTGAGTACACAAACATCTGGTGCAACAACGGGGTGTACCGTTCATTGACCGGTCAGCAGACTTAGTTGCTGCTTGAAGTGCGCACCACCTGCAAATTATGTTCGTGGTGTGGCGGTTAAGCGCTGCCTGTCCCGTTGCTTGTGATTTCGTGATGATTTTCTGAATGAAAGGTTTCGACACGGCGGCTAAGCACCGGCATAAAACGAGCAACGATCGAAGTGCAGAACAGCATTTACTACGTGCCGAACCGAGCAGGCACTTTGAGGCGATTAAAAGGTAATTACAGTGCACTGTGGCCGAACAAAGCGAAACCGTACCGCTAAGCTTAGCGCAATGCACTACGTGACGTACAGATGAGTGCAGGAGGTGAAATGTTTACTTATTTTTGGTTGTTGCAGTTTCTGCGGACAGTCCTATCGCACGACAGGCTGTCAAACAAATAAACCATTTCAATCTGAGGGCATAAACCGTCCATGCTGTCAAGAACTGCTGCAGTCCTAGGACTTGTGCTTTTCGGCCTGTTTGCATGCACGGCAGGCACATGCATAAGCACGAGCGATAGTTTTAAACGGCCTGATGAAACGAGCAAAGGATTCGACAGCTCGGACAACGATGAGGAAATGTCGCTGGAATGTGAAGGTGCTGAAGTGGAGAGGAACGGGTGTGAGCACGAACACACTAAGGACATGAGCGAACCGCAAGAAAAGCAGCTAGCAGGTACCGGTCCCGCATCCATGATCAAAGCTGCTGGGTCAGCGATCATCGGCTTTGTATCTGCTCTTGCGCGCAGATTGGGACAAGCAATGCTGCGCTACTGTCGTAAGTTTTGGGACGTTTTAAGCTGATTTTAATTTGGGATGAGCGTTATTTTACTACCCGGTCATAAATGAGCAATTTCAACTAAAATTGGTACCGCTACGTGTGAGGTGCGCCCTTCAAACATTTGAATTGTTCGGTAATGCGCTTTTCCTTATTTTCGATTAATTTATCTTTTTAGAACGTTTTTAATATTTTTAGGTCCGTTCTATGAACGGATAGCACGGCCAGCATTTTGTAGCACTTCACCAGCTCTGCCCACTATGCACGCAGCTCCTATCCCTGCCCACAACCGTTCTAATACATTTTCAAATCTTTTGTATAAACCGATACTTCCGCTTTGCTCCACGGCCCCAAACCAATCAAGGTGTTACTGCCAGCAGGTACCTGCGTTCGCCCCGCGTCATAAATGCTGTTAACAGGCACTCCTGCACTCTTCGCACCCCGTCCAATGCTCCTCATCTCCTCATAACCAGCCTTCAGCACAATCTTAGCCTCTCCATTGTCCACCCACTCATCCACATTCACAGCCTTTCTAACAACCTTTGATACCATATGGCCCACCTGTGCAATCACCTTTCCCTTAGACATTTTCAGGTCCTTGTTCACTATTATAACGAGCACAAGATCGCTTGGTGGCGATCTACGCCTTGTACTGCGCATGATGGCACGAATGAGCTTGTAGAGCAGGAAGGAGATGTTTAGGGTCAGCAGAATTAGAAATAGCGGTTTGTACATTGAATGATCGATTTGTGACATAGGGGTAGCGATTTGAGTGTGTATAAGGGGAAGTGAAGGGGGTGTGAAGGGTGTAAGAAGGGGGTGTGAGGACGAGAAGGGGGTGAGAAGAGGGTGAAAAGGGTGTGAAAAGGGTGTGAAAAGGGTGTGAAAAGGGTGTGAAAAGGGTGTGAAGGGGGTGTGAGGATGAGAAGGGGAAGTGATGAAAATATTTTTATGCTCCGCTTTGCAAGGGATGCTGTCTTATCACTCAAACCAAAGAGAGCAAACGGCTTTGTACAAAAATTATTATTTTTATGAACTGGCCAATCAGCTTACGCATTGTCTTTTTAGGGTTAGGTGGTTCGCAGAATAAAGCACAACTTCGCTGTGCAATGCCGGGTAAAATGCATAAAAACGCATCTTTAACAAATGTGTTACTTGGCAAGGAACAGCACCTTAAATACGAACCAATAAAATGCACCTAATCATGAATATGCCGCCAACACGGCAAGCAATAGCTAAACATTCACATTTAAATTCTAAAATACAAATTCAACACCTTTAATACGCTCGTGCTCGTTTCTGACACACGGCCCGAAGTGATGAGAACACCCCAGCCTAATACACAACTACGCGCCATCACTCACCTCGTCGTACATAAACACGCCACACTCCTCATCACTGACCACCATGCCAACAATCTCCCTATCATCCGTTACGTAGCCGTTTTCAATTTCTTTGGGGTACTTCAGCTTTACAGTGCTGTTGGTTACATCTTTTAAGGTCTTCCGCTTTTCTTTCATGCCTGTTCGTGTGGGGGTGGCAAATTCGTACGGTTCTGTACTTTCAACGGAATTGCGTTTGTTCAGCCTTACCCAGCCAACACACCGGTCACACGGCTCAGTGCAACGCTCAAAAACAATGGCGTAGTTAGAACGATAGGAATTACGAGCCGTAGGAATACGCAAGAATTTACCATACGTACGTTTGTTTACACTGCTGGGTGAGTGGTAGATGATCAAAACGATGGGTGTTACCGTATCCTTCCTTGGTGCGTTTGTTACCGTTCTGATTCGTAGTAAGGACCGTTAATTTTGTTGTTTTTTACCGCTCACTTTCTTTGTGCAGCGATTAAATTAATTTTGCGATGTTTTCACAGTTCGTTTCAGTTACGTTCTCTTACATTAAATTTAATTTGCACTCACCTGCTCATCACCTCATCATCTGCTCATTCCACACTTCACCTCCTCCTCATCACCTCATCTCCTCTTCACCTCCTCATCATCTCCTCTTCACCTCCTCTTCACCTCCTCTTCACCTCCTCATCATCTCCTCATCATCTCCTCATCATCTCCTCATCATCTCCTCCTCATCTCCTCTTCACCTCCTCATCATCACCTCCTATTCACATTTCTTCAAGCACCTCTCCCTCGTAGCAACTCCTCACGTATTCACAAATGCCCCTCCGAATATCCGCATCCACATTTGCTCTGACAGCTCCGCCCCCCACTATCTCCATAACCGCCTTCCTCAAATTGTACACATAGTGCTCATCCAGGTACACACCGGACAAGATCACACACCTAGACGCATTCGTGGTGTACTGCTTTCTAAACGGCATAGGCTTTCTCTTCTCGCGCTGCAACCGTATGCTGTTCATAATTGCCATATCACGCATCTGTGCGGCCTTCCTAAACTCATACGGTGACATTTTGTGCCTTTTCAGCACGCTAAACGAATTGAACGACGTGCTCAGCATGGTTTTGTTGCCTGGCCGGTCACGTGTGTTGGTATACACCGACAGCTCTGCTCCCTTCACGTGGCCCTCCGGAAAGTCCGTTCGTGCACGCTCCTGTGGTTGGTCCGCACACCCCGCCACATAAATGGTGTTCTTATACGCCGGCAGTTGCTTTAGAATGCCGTGCATTCTGTAGGGATTGGCACATACCTGCTGCGATACTCTGTTCGTGTCTTCGTACACGAAACTCAGGAGCACGCTCACCTCCAGATCAAACAGCAGGGCATTCACGTAGTTCTCAACGCTCTCCAACACCTCCTCAATCAGATTTTCACCCACCGAATATTCCATTGAATCGTTGTACTCGTGCGGCAAGTCCCTGTTCCTTAGCAGCTCACCCACCGCTTTTTGGAACGCTGCATCCTCAAATATTACGTCTATTGGTACTTCGTAGTGCGTACCGGTTGTGCATGCGAGTATGCCAAGAACGTGCAGAATTAACATTATGTGCGGATTGACACTCTTTTTATGTGATGGGACTGTTGTTTGTGATGGATTTGAAACTAATTGTGGTGATGGAAGTGTTTTATGGAATATTTTGGATGATGAGCGGGGAAGGGTGAGAAATAATGGGTTTGAGGAGCGGGGAAGGGTGCAGTATTTTTGAGGAGCGGGGAAGGGTGCAGTATTTTTGAGGAGCGGGGAAGGGTGCAGTATTTTTGAGGAGCGGGGAAGGGTGCAGTATTTTTGAGGAGCAGGAGAAGAAACAATAAATACTTGAGGTGTTAGCACTACCAAATGAAATGGAACAGCAACCGTTGAACTAACACCGATAAATAAAACCAAGTTGGTGCAAAATATGCAGCAATAATCGTTGTAGCACACACCTCAACAATTGTAAAGCTTTTGATCGCAAGCAAACAAGCACTAGATAAATAATTTGATGAGCGCTTGCCAAAGATGAGCGGGTACTCACAAGAACAGGGATCGCACGTACGAGCTGATCCGTACAAATATTTAAATTCAAAACAATGTAAACGTTCTTTACGGCCAATCATTTCGGTACACCTTTTTAATAGCGGTAGATTTGGCAGCACACGCGGTAACCGATTTTAACGTTCCTTAAATCACGGATGAAATCAAAATGTTGAGATGTAAATGGTGTTACACCTGACTGATCATGAAGTGACGTGCTCATATGAAGGGTGGTGTGATTAAATGAATTGCTAATTTAGGACCAGAATTTGAGCATTGGTCCTTGCAAAGAAAACAATTCGCACAAAATAATGGGAGGGAAAGTGTACCGGTAAAAAATGAGGTGGACCCTTCCGAATCAAACAGCACTTCTGTGCAAGGCTGTTGCACATCGCAGCTGTGCCATCCTTGCTCTGGTGCTGGATAAGCTTGGTTTGATGCCTTTCTCCTCAGTGCGGCTGTTGCAACCCGTGCTTCAGCACGCTTTCCGGGCACCAAAAACTTTCTGGTAAAAGCGTTTTGAGGGGCTGCAATTCAAAGCTGTGATAACTCCGTAGCTTAAAAGTGCATGTTCGTTGTTCATCCTCGTATGACCAGCATTCTTTTTTTGCTAATTTTATTTTTTCCTCGCACCCAGCTGCATCCAAGCATTCCGTACGTGTTAAAAACGTTCGAGCCCGTAAAATTTGCTTGTAATAATTTTTATGCTCTTCGCACGGCACCGTGCCAAATAAATTTACTTTTTTACCCAATCTGCTCTACGCATGGTGTATGGGGCTGTCATACACCATGCGTAAAAAGGGCATCGTACCCTCAAATAAACCACTCCCCATGATTAACCCGTACCCTCAAATAAACCACTCCCCATGATTAACCCGCACCCTCAAATAAATCATTTCCATCTGTTAAACTGTCATATGCTGCCCAATCATCTCCTCCATCTAAAACCATTTCTTAGATAGCAAAACATAAATAGAACGCATTCATTCCATCCATGTACGCATTTCTTCTGTACATTTCATTCGCACTGTGCCGGTTCTCCCACTTTGTTCCCTCCTACACGATAGAACAGGTAAATACGATTGATGATAGCTCGCATACCTCGAGCGAGGAGTACCTGGTAGACTTTTACGACTCAAAGGTTTATCAAAGACACTTATCGCCCTACCAAAAGCATAGGAAGAGGGTGTTCTACTGCCATGGTAAGCACGGTGACAAGCACAATAATTACAACTATCACAGCTACCACTACAGGAAATGGAAGTTTAATGACAGGGCGTAGGATGAGTTGGTGTGCTGTGTATGAGCGTGGTGTGGCATGTGCTGAGATAAATTTGCTATTCGTTGTGCACCGCGTATAGTAAAATAGATTTATCATTTTCTTTGGACTGCGCGTGTTTCTCAGGCAGTACGTGGTGGATGAAAATAGCACTGGCAGTATTTTGGATGGCCGTCAGCAAACGTACGCGTTAGAAGGCGCTGCTAAGGACCATAACCGTAAGAAACACCTCCTAAGCAATGATTTGAGCACAGCTCGGTGATGAATGGTGTAGCAGCGTGCAAGCACGCCATACCTCGTATTTAAGCAAAGTATTCGGTCATATGCAGCTTTACCTGCAAAAATGCTTGAGCAATAAACGGGCATTCTAATCAAATCAGCACTACGCCACGTCACGGTTGTTGAAACGATTACCTTCCCCTTACAACGAGCCATGCCCCCACAATTATTTTAGCGGTACGTCCTCCTTCCTCTACCCTTTTGCTCGCCTTTCTCTACCCTTTTGCTCGCCTTTCTCTACCCTTTTGCTCGCCTTCCTCTACCCTTTTGCTCGCCTTCCCGTGGCAGCAAAGCAGGAAAAGCAAATTTACCTATCACAGCATGGTAGGTCTGTCATAGACCACCAAACGTACGAATGCATTTCTTCCAACCGCAATACTTCACTTCACCACCGCACGTATGCAATTTATCATCTTCTTGCAGGCCATCACCACCTACTCCGGTACCCCGAGGTGCAAACCAAGGCCAAAGGCAATTTATTCATTCCTCTGCTCAATTCGTTACACGCCAATGATCACCATCAAACAATCACGAACCACTCTTTATATTCGAAGTACCGTGCAATGGCGAATGTTGCTGCTCATCGCTGTTCTGATGGTGGTGCTGGCACACCAAGGATTTATACATCACGCGGGATATGCATGTTCGCAGCATCGTGGTGTTCTGCCGGGCAAGACAGAAGGATCCCACCACATAGCTCATCTCACAGAATAAGTAAATCGTTTGCTGGAAGCGTTCAATTTGCGGTGCTCTGGCGCACTGCCCTGCACTTTTGTCACTAAGACACGTTTAACACGCCATGTGGTGTTTCGCACCTTTCATTGGCCTGAATCGGTACGTGCACGTTTTTACGGGCAGTACTTTAACTGCAATACTTCGGTGGCTGCTCCGTGCTAAGACATGCAATGAAAAAGGCCGTGCGTGCACTGAGCCAACGATGAGCGCGTTACCTTCCCTTTATCGTGGCAGGTGTGCCGGAAACGGGCACAGGTCCAAGAATGTTGTTGGTGCGCGGGAAGAAGAAAAGATTTTAGTGAACGACCGTTTCCTGTTGGTGCGCTTAGTGGTTGCAGGTGAAATACTTTTAGGCCAGGAAATGCGCAGTGCTGCTCATAAACGTGTTGTTTTGAGGAAGTATCAATTTTTGCTGGGGTGCACATCAACAGCGCTGTGAGGCGGGTGCAAATACGCATCTGCGTTTAGAACGTGTCTAAAAACCAATTGGGGCAGCAAAATGTAAAATTTGGAACATTGGCGTGCACTGGAAGGAGCGCCACGCACAAACGCTGTTCTTCGCTGAACTGCGCTTATCTATCAAATGCTGTTTATTTGGATCTTTAAAGGTGCGTTGGCCGTACATGGGTAGGTTCGTGCTGCGTTCCTGCGCAAGCAGCCTTTTACAGCACTTGCCAGTTATTCCCTCCGCAACAAATTGCTCAGATACGATCACACGCTCTCCGCACGATTAGAGCACCGTTCTAAAACGCTTGTCGCCTCGCACTAAACACCAAAACACGGCACACCCGATTTATCTCGCCAATAAACCGTAAAACCTCATTTGCCGTTTTTACGCATGCCCAAATTTTTACCTCTCAGTACTCCCAAAATCTCAAAAAAATATAAAACACCAAAAAGCCTTGCACACCAATGCTCATCGACATATCAAACCTGCCGCAAATACCCACCAAGAGGTTCAAGCTGACCATTCACAGATCAACAAACCGCACGAAGCTTCTCCGGTGGCTCTTTGAGGTAACAATAGACTTCAGGCTAACGCTCGACACGCACATACTGGCCATACGGATCTTTGATCACTATGTGGCGAGGGCCAACGTGGACACGGGTGAAATGCAGAAGGTGGGGGTCTGCGCGCTCTTCTTGGCGAGCAAAGTTTTCGAGGTTAACATGCGCCGTGCGTGCGAATATGCATGTGTGACGGGCGGTGCTTGTACCGAGGAGGACATGGTGGGTGTGGAGAAGATGATCTTGGAGTGCCTTGACTTTGAAATACCGCTGATCGAAATTGAGGACGAGAAGATGAAAATTGCCGTTGTGATCGTGCTGGAGGGCATGAAGGCAACGGAATGGGGGTGTGTGCTGGAAGAAGCAAGGAGGACAATGAATGGCATTGAGAACGGCAATACAGGGAAGGAAACGGTGTTTTACACGGAAATGATGAAAAGCAGCACTGCTTAGTTAAACACTCCTTTAAATTACGAGTCTTTAGGAAAATGGGCCGGCGTTGCTGGGAATACCACGTTGGAATGGGGGCAAAATTTTAGCAATTATTGGGACCGTGTCTTCTGAGGATGCCTGCCCGGCTTAAAAGTTCGGTAGCGGGAGAGAACGGCATTGCCGTGTGATGAGCACCGCCCACAGGTATACGACGAGAGAACATGCATAACATTCAACAGGCGATCACGTCTCGCTATCTGCCCGTTCTCCTTCCGTTTGGTGATCAATCGAACAGGCAAACATTTCTTGCTGCCGTAACGCTTTTTAGGACCAAACAAGTTTATTCAATCGTGGACCGCTACAAGCTGCTCCTACTTGATGTGATTGGCAGTGCTGTCGAAGTCTTTTCGAATGGACTCAAACTCTCTCTTCAAACTTTCCAGGTCACCCTCTTCTACCATCAATTTATCAATTTTACCTGCAATTCGTGCGATCGTTTCGTTTATTTCCTTTTTTCTGTACGAACTTTCCATTGCCATAATAAATATTTTCTTGATTTCTGCCGAGTACGACATCGATAGGGGTCCGTGCCAGCTACGGCTTAAAGGTGGTGGGCACGGTGTACCAGGAGACAGAACCATAGCAGCCCTGCAAACCGTGCCGTTTACTGTGAACAGAGTTTGATGTCCTGATTACAACTGAATGAGTGCTGACCGCCAGCTATGAAACACGGCAATTCAACACGGTGCTATGCTTAGGATATATCGTGGTACAAGGGCCTGTTAGTGAATTGTTGTACGTAATGGCCAGAAAATTCGTCATTTATTTTTATGCACCATTTATTTTTATGCATCATTTATTTTTATGCACCATTTATTTTTATGCACCATTTATTTTTATGCATCACATACGTGCCGCTCAGTTCTGAGTTGACTACGGCACCGTCCCACGAACTAAGGTTGGTCAAACCACAATGAGAACCCTCATACAGGCAAATCCTACCCAGCAGCATTGAGCAGAGCGTGCTCTGCTGGTAACTGAACATGAATTAGGAAGTGCGTGGCCGTACAGCAACGAATCGCACAAAATTAAAAGTACCACGTCTTTGTCTCAGAACATTTTACTCAATGTTTTCGTTTTACGGGTTATCCTCACCACCAGTGCCATTATAATCAATCGCTCGCACCAGCTCGGGTTGTTTCCTCGCTCCACACCGGAAAACCTCGTTTGGTGTGCTTGTGCAGCACAAATTCGTTTCGTATGCCCAACAATACTTCAAAATGATGGTGGCCTCATCACAGCTCATGCACACGGTTTCCCTCTATGAGGTACACCTTTCCACCAACCATGGTAACACCCACTATTTCGTTTTCGTATTGAAAGCTATTCACCACTTTCAGCTGCTCAAGCACAATCAAACGGTGCTGCCCACACACGTAAATCCTGTCTAAGTACGTCTTTACATCTTTTACGTAGCGAATGCCGAGCTGAATCTCATCATCTCCTACAAGCAGCTTATTTGTCGTGGCCACCACGAACAAGGGAGCAGCAGCAAAGGCTGTGACCGGTCTGTCGTGGTAAATTGTCGTTAAATTTGCTTGTACGTCGTTTTCATCGTATTGGTAGCGCAAATACGTGCCATTCCTGGAAATTAAATGAAAGATGGCATCGTGGTACTCCACGTTTGCTACTGCGGCTGCAAGACGTGCCAACAGATGCTTTTGGCTGTCGATCACGTGTACACTTCCATCGGTGCAGGCAACGAGCATGATGTTGTTCCGCAGCAGAAATGCTGCGATAGCCTCGCTAAATTTATACGTACGATCTAAAGCAAAGTCCTTGTTACCGGCTAGCCCAGCGGCACTTTCTGACGGTGCATGCTGATCATCAGCACGGTTTTTAGTGGCGCTATCGCGGTGCGGATCTAAGCGCTTGTCCATGTCATACACCTCAATGCAGTCTAGCCCTGCCAAGAATGCTACTCGATTCCCATCCACTGAAAAATCTCTTTTCTGCAGGTCCGATATTTTGTTAAACCCACGGTAAAAGCCATTCCTGCAGAGCAGATAACCATCTCTTGCTCTCAGTACATCATCATCCACGCTAAACACACTAACCTCCTCGTAAAAGATCTCCAGCCTGCTCTCATCCTTGTGTACATCTCTTAACTCGTTGAAAGACTTTTCCGAATAGAACTTGTAAAATTTGCGGGTGTTGAAATGATCGTTCAAAATGGACTGCAAATGATTCTTGGTGGTATTCAATGGCAGATGAAGGATCAGTGGGGCATTTGTTGTCTTGGAGATGAGACTGATCACTTGAAACACATCGTCTTTGGACATTGGAAGGGATAAAGAAAAAGGAAGAGAAATCGAGGGATACGCAGAAAAATGAGATGAAGATGCGTAATCGTGCCGTTCATTGGAAGGGATAAAGAAAAAGGAAAAGAAATCGGGGGATACACAGAAAAATGAGATGAAGATGCGTAATCGTGCCGTTCATTGGTTTTGATCGGCTAAACATAAGAAAAAATAACTCGTCTGCCGACTATTTTGCAAGGCCGAAGAGATGACTGTGCCGTCCGTAGATATGTGGTGGACATGCAACAGAAAGGCACTATTTTGTACAAGCTGTGTAAAATGGATACCACGATGCCCACTTTCATGTTTTACATTCCATTTGCATGCTTTCGTTGCAGTTCTTGATGAACATGTCTTCAAACTTTACTTTCCTTCCTTAAGGACGAAAACACGTGGTATATCGGTACATGATAATATTATTTAGTAGGAAAGGCCATTTTGTTCATAAGACCGCTTAGTTGATCTAAATTCAAATTTGAGGTATCACGTGTTGAATGGTGTTCAAAATATATTATGGTTTATTCCACAGCTTTATTGCAATTTTAATCGTTATATCACATTCAAGAGGAATAAAATGTTTTTGGATGGATTAGCATAAATGCCTTTATAATCGGTAAATACCATTTATTTTTTAGCTACCCCTGTATGAGATCCGAGTTTTCGCATATTACGGCTAATCATTCAAGAAATGGAATACGCAATATTTGGCTGCTACCCCTGTATGAGATCCGAGTTTTCGCATATTACGGCTAATCATTCAAGAAATGGAATACGCAATATTTGGCTGCTATCCACAGGCAGATTCTTGAGACAGTAATGAATGAACATCATGGAGTAAAGATGCATGGGATATATCACGTAAAAATGTCACTCCACTACCTATAAACAGTCATAATTGAGGTGCCGATGCATTTATTAGGTTTATAACCACGCGAGATACCGCAGTTTGAGGAGTCGCATCCATGAAATATTCTGCGATCAAAGTACTGGTGAACAACGATATTTGATGAGTGTGGCAAAAGTGTCCAAGTCGATAACTGCAAGTGCGCAATGATTGTAATTAGAAAATATTGGTGGTGATTCAAAGGTTAGGTTGAGGTACAAGGATGAAAAGATTTAATGCTATAGGCTTGATTTCGCTTTGTTCGTCCGTCTTGTAGTACGATCAGTCTAAGTAACGGCAAGGAGCGAAACAGCAAGAACTTCATGTTTCTATTTGTGGTTATTAATAATATTAATGAATTGCTTCGGTGTCTTGTGCAGATTATCGTTTATCTTCGGATCTAATATGTAGAAGTGCCGCTTTTCAATGAGGTGTTTTTTTCTGAGATTCCTTATGTATTCCTCGGGAACAAAATTGGACGACCCAACTACGTTATTCTGAGAGAGAAACAGGACGTTTCTTACCGTATCGTTTTGTGGCATCTGACAGAGCATCGATTCAAGCTTTTTGGCTAAACTTGATCCTATCACTAGCTGCCACTTGGACATGTTATCCTTCCTCAAGAATGCCATAACCTGTGAAAGCTGCTGATCGTCGATCTGAGTAGCAATACTGTCAGCAAGTAGCAGAACGCCACCTTCCTTCAGCATAGGCGCTACGAAGTAGCCTTCTCTCTTCAGGATCGACGTGCCGAAAAAATAAAACGAACAATTCGACTCTATGAGCATAAAATAGAACGGCATGTTATTGAGAAACTGCAGATACTCCACATGTACGAATATCGTGTCAATTTCTGTGTGATCCATGCTCACATATTTTTTACCTCTAGAAGTTAAAAACTTCCTTATTTCATTGGCCAGAAAATTCGAACTGCTAGCAAAGATGGAGAATTTTAGAATTTTATCCTCTGTCAGGTTGGGACCGGAGATGAGAAAATGCCTGAATACACGATCAACGTATTGGTAAGTATTCTTCTGCCATAGATTGTACGAATCGCACAGGGATTTGTCGAGTCTGGGATTGATGGCGTATCTTATCGTTTTGGCAGGAATTCTCACAAGATTGTAATATCCACATATATTGTATTTCTTTAATTTGTTGCTGTTAAACACGAGAAACAATACAAAAGAAATTTCACCAGAAATGTCCACAAACACATGATTCTCTTTACCTTGTAGAAGCAGGTCACGAAATTTGTCATTGTTATTCAGCAATTTCAAATTATACACATCATAATCTCCAAAGTTCACGTTTTGCCGTGCCGAGAACATAATATTCTCAAATTCAGCAAAACCTATGGTACGAGATACGTTGAATTGCTTACCAAAAGGCATGGCGAGATTACCAAGAATGCATACGTAGGAAAACGTGGCAATTTTTACAGAATCGATTAAAACTACGAAATCGTTCTCCTTTGATTGTATGTCAACCTCTTCTTTCTCTATATAGCCTGTCTGTTTGCTCAGCGGCGCCTCAAAGTATCTTTGACTGTTCAAAAAAATTTTGTTTGATGCTCTGAACGAAGATTTATATGGCCCAAGGTTCAGTTTTTGGCCAAAAGACTCTGATTGTTGCTTCGCTGAGCGATTTCCTTCTTTAACGATCTTTTGATTAGCTATGTATGCGTGTTGAAATTCCCTATGTTTTTCAAGCTCATCGGTGCGTTGGCCTGCTGTTTTAATTATGTGCCGATTAATTCTATTGTGTTCCAAAACAGCGGCCCTTGGCGCTGTTGTGCGCCCTGTGATAGATTCTTTGGACCGTATGCTGGAAATAAAACTTTTCTCTTCCACTTTTCTTCTGATTCTTTCTTCTTCAAAAGCTTTTTTCTGCAGTAAGCCGTCCACTTTGTTCAAGAAGTTGGTGAATAGAAGGGGACAGCGCAAAGTCTCGGGCGATTCCCAAGTCACAAGCTTATCCTCCCATAAAATTCTTACAAACACCTTTTCATCCTTCAGAATGCACCCGACAACACGCTTAATCTTGAGTACTTCCTTCATGTGGGAGGGTGAGCGTTGATTTGAATTATAAAAAAATGTTCGTCCAACGATGAACCGAGTAGCATCTCAGCGTTGTGACATGAAATAGCGGTGGTCCCAATCACTTCGGCTCTCTTTCGTACGATACAGGAGCACCGTACGTAGGTTGTTGCAACAGACGTAATAATAATTGAACATTGGTGCTGGGTAAAAATTATACTACTTGTTCGACCGTTAAATTTTAAACTTAACACAGAATCAGATCATAACTTCCCCTAGTCTGTGCCCTGCAGCGTTCAGCATTATTATTTAGCGATCACGAACCGTAGTACTTCATGAGCTTGGTGCAAAAGTCTTAAATTTACGCTCAACGTACGAACTGATACAGAAATAATTCAAGAGACAAGAAAACTTTCCTAATGTATTTGTGACAGGCAGCAAAACGGTACCTTCACAAACATTTCAGTTTAACAAACTTGCTGTGCAAAAGATGCGTGTTCTGTGCTCCACGTCAAGAGAGTCTGCACATTTTATCGTGCAAAAAACAGATAAAGCACTTATCGATGGTTGTTTTATAGCAACGGGCTGTCAATCGTAATATGCCTGTGCAAATTTCTCAGTGATATCGTAACAATTTGGTTGGCAGAACAACCAAAAATAGTATCAAAGCTCAGATATAGGCCCCATCTAATTAGGCAATGTACATGTAACGGAGAAGAAATAGAACCTTTGTTTCTCTATGTAGGCCAAAGGCCTTACGCCATAATGATGCCGCTCTCGTTTCAAACCTTCTGCCTGAACAGAAAATCATGTACGATGCAAGGTTCACCTGGCAAGCAAATAACTGTTATCCGCCAGAAAATATATCATCAGAGGAATAATTCAAATGAATGCGTATGAAAGCCCTTAAACGGGCCTTATTGCTGCTTACACCCCAATTCCTGTCCCAGCTGCAATCAAGCCAAACCACCAATGCAAATGGTGCGATTTACACCACTTAACGAATAAATCACTCAAATAGGTCAGGGCGTGTTTTACGGCAAAGGTAGAACATCGTAGATGCTCATAACTGTTTTGAATGCCGAAGTGTGTTAGATAAATTTATTTTGGTAGTTCATGGTTGCTGGTAATTTACGATGAGATGTAAGAATATTTGTGCTATCTTACATTTATTGCTCCTACATTTATTGCTCCTACATTTATTGCTCCTACATTTATTGCTCCTACATTTATTGTGCGTGTAAAGAAGCACAAATACCTACCGGTACATGTGGTCAGGTACAAGTTAAATTTATACCTGCCATTGTTACGCTTTACCCTGTACTTGCCCAATTGCGTAATCGAGGAACGATGCCCTTGGCATGCCCTCAAACGTACTTGCGGTAATCAAAGAATGCAAATTAAACGTAATTGTTGTAAAAGGTTGATAAATCGATCTAAAATGCTGTTTTAAACTACGATCTCTCATGTGAATGCCTTTCAACCATTTTTCACGGTAGCAAAGCAGTAAAGTCACTTTATCAACAGGCATTCGCCTGTTACTTCTGTGGCAGTTCTACACGTCGTGGCGAACGGTTGGTGCAAACACACGCAGTGATGTGGAATGTGGTTGTGGCGCACCTAAAGTACATTTGTTACCCGCGCAGCGTGATATTTCCCGTAACACGCCCTCAATATGCAAATCGCAGGACTTTCTCAAAGAAAGGTCCGGTCAAGAGGATGATAATCAAACCAAACCGCAAAAAACGGCTCTGTCAGTTAAACACGCATCGCTGCAGGACAATCGTTCCAGCCAGCAGCATAAACGTGTGTGCCCACGTATCAAATTTTTAAGCACAAGACGGTGTTTCACCCACTCGTCCAACCAAAAATTTTAACCTTTTTTCAAAACTTAGCTGTCCAAACTTTTACACGTATTACTCTCATCTTCAAAATTTTTATTTATATCGCTGTACACCATCAATAACCATAGTTATCCACCGACGAGTAGTCCCCGTAGTATCCATAGGCATCTACAATATCCACATCGGGTAAAATCGGGGTAGGTTTCATAAAAAGTACGGCTCCCGGAACGTGTTCCATTTGGGAACCGTGCACGCTGTATTGGTGGCTGCCCACCGAATCAAATCCCGGTTCAAAATTTCTTCTTACCAATCCGTACGACATCGCTGTTATCAATCCCGGAAAAAAAAGGTACATAGTAAAATTTTGTTACATTTGCTTTTATATGTTGGTAATGCATACGATGTTTCTGATACCAAGTTTTGAGCCATGTATTGTTTTAAGTACGGTTTGGGAGGAATGCTGACACAAAAGTAATTGGTTGCGGTTTTCATTTGATTGACTCACACAATCGGTAAAACCAAACCGTTTCAAAACGGGCATAACCATGGTGAGGATGTGAGGGCATTAGAGCGCACCGCGATGAACGCGAATATGTGATGCGCTGCTGCGCTGCACTTGTTGCAGTTCGTGCCATGCTCTCATCAAGTATCACAAAAACGGGCGAGTACCATTCTCCCTTTGGATAAAAACAAGGACAAGGCAAGCGATCCGTATTATAAGATAAAACACGGTAATTAACTACGGTCATTCTGCTACTGTTTCATACGGTAATTTGATCCTGGCATTCTGCAGAGTACGTGCGGAAATACGCAACTTCATTAAATGTCCGTTCCGTGTCGCTGGATCAATTTTTTCGTGTAAGTTTTGTGTTAAAATATCTTTTGGCCGATCGAAAATGTTTCTGATTACTTTATCAGGTGAACCGATTACGAAACAAAATTAATTCGATCAATATTGCAAGCCGGGCATCAATGTTATGAACCACAAGTGTTGCGGCATGCCAATGAGCAAAACATGGAATCCTTGGCTAGAGGTACAGCGTGCCTTACATCATATGATATCTCTGTCCAGAAGAGATGGGCTCATTAAAAAATGAGGGCGTGACCTGCAAACACCAACAGAATGAACGGTCAGCTGGATATGGAGGGCCACTGTTTCTGACCATAGCTACGTTTATACGGGCCGCTGACCATAATCAGTTGAAGTACCGCACTGGAAAAAGAAGTGTACACGTAACTATGATATTTTCTAAAAACAGTAAAATTACCACGATCTTACGGTTAATGGCCTCAAAACAAAGTTTTCGTTGATTTACTGTAGCGTTATACAGCAACAGATAAAGGAAGTTGCTGGCAGGCAGCAATTGGAGCGCAAGTCTTTGCACGTGTGGTTTACGTGGTGTTGTACGACGAGCACTTAGCTGTAGGCACTGCACGATATTTACTATTTGTAGCGATGAACCGTAAAATGTGGTTGCGATGAATCGAACAAAAACATTGACGCAGACCAGAAGGGATCAGGCTAGTAAAGCATCGTGGATATAAACCGATGCAAAAGGACGAATTACCAAATGGTATTTACTTGTCTATACTTCACATATTGAACTGCACTCTCATCCCACGAATCTGCTACTCATCATGTATCGCGTTCCCATTCGATACATAATCCGTTCCCCCAGCAAGATCGTCGTTGAATGATTCACGGCTCGCACACATCCCTACTATTCGCTGTTCTGAAACAGACCCAAATCACCCACAATGCCTTTACACACCCACAACAGTTTTCACCTACCCAAGACTGCTGCCACTCCTATATTTCACACCCACAGCCCCAAACATCGCTTATCCCTTCACAATCAAAAATAGGCTTTCCCAAACGTTTGTTAACGACGTTGTGTGCGCTGCACAACCAAAGCTCGAATTCCTTTCTCGAGCTAACCACAGGCACATGGTCATTCAGTAGTTTTTGAAAGTGCATGCTGCACTCCTCACACGGGAATAGCTTGGCCAGCAACGAAAGAAACTGAATAACGTTCTTTTTGTCCTGTTCGCTGGGATCAACCGGAAACTTCGAGGCCATCGTATGAAGTAGTCGCCATGTGCCCCTTCCAAGTTCTTCCCTTATTTCTCTGTTTTGCGCACTTTTGCTTATTGCACAGCCGTTTCCATCCGTTTTCCTTCCTTGTGGTACCTTTTTTTGGCTATTTCGTGCATGTCTCATAATTCTGCCCAGGTTCTTTGCCAATCTTTGCCCAACCCAACGCCACCATATGGATGCTCTCTTTCCCATCAAGCCAAATGCCCCGTAGACCCTATGTCTTATTGAAATAGGTGTATGCACGTGCTTCTTTATCCAATCGTTGATCCCACGATCGAGCACTTCCCCGCCATCCCTCATAGCAACACCATTTTCGTCGGTATGCACGCTCGCGTTCCAATTGCCCTTCAAGAAACCGTCCATCTCTTGCTTTAGTTCTTCATCAATCGCTGTTCTCATTCCTCGTGTTTGTTTAAATTTAATTTCCTTTTTGACGTAAGAGATGCGCATTCCCAGAATTCTGTGCCGTATCCAATCTACGGATGCCCTCTTCTCCAGCGCTCGTAGCATTTCAACCATCCCGGTGCAAGCTCTTCCCTCCCCAAGTTTCACTATCTTAACCGCTATTTCTTTTATCCCACTCCTCTCTACGCCAACAGCAATTTTATCGGCAACCACTACATGTGCGCGCCTTATGCTCTCGATCGGTCCTCGAAGAATTCCCCAGTTCACATACCCACACACCACGTATGCCGTATTCGCCAGCCAATTCTTAGCGTTCTGTTGTACAGCGCTCATTTCAACTTTTTTTGCACGGTAAATGAGGCGGCTTGTCAGTTTTGTTTGCCAATCTTTGATTCTGAGAATGATGTTCCAGAAATTGCCCATGTTAAACCACTTGTACACATTTTTGCATGCCGTTTTGCTCCATGCTAGGGAGAAAACAACGATATTTTTCATCTTCGCCGCGTTACCGTACCTCGTGGTCCATGCCACAATCCTATGCCGCGACTTGTTAAAACTACACGTAACCATCGATGGCACGTCAATTGTAACAAAACCAGCAGTTTTGTTGGTTATCCATTCCTTCGACCTTGTAACACCGTGCCAGGCCGCTTGCACTTTGTTACTCTCCAAACACTTAGCCATGCCCTTCACCGCCCAAGTCAACGAACGCTTAATGCCGCGCTTGACCGCCTGTACGCCACTATTATTCGTGCACCTGTCCATTCCTTTGCTCATCAACTTGTCTAACCATCCAAATACGTGTATGAATGCTTTGATCCTCCTATCCTCCATGCATTTGGTTATGCCACTCTTTGCCAGCTCATCAAACCACCTAATGCCGCGCAGCGCTGCTTTTATCCTATCATCATTCGCACATCCCCTCAAACTGCCGATTATTCCTCTCTGCAGCTTGCCAACGCCATTTACTGTTCCCGGCGTACTATCCTCGTTCAGAGCACTTCCTCGTCTCCCCTCTAGCGCAATCGGCATCAGCACATCGTCCTTCTGCTGCCTGTAAAAGCACACCAACGAGACCAAAAGAATTGCTCTTGACACCATCCTCAAGATACCCGAACTTTTCATAATAAACATTTTTAATTTCCTTTTATAGTTCAATTTGTATGTTGTTTCAAATCTATCAGTTTTTTTTAATCTGCCAGCTCTTGAATTTAAGGAGCTATCGCACAGCATGACATGCACACATCGACATAAACCTGAAATGCGCTTTACCGTAAGAATTTGAGCATAGGATATCGGCACCGGACGTGATCGCATCTGCACACAAATGATAAATACAGATGATGTGATAAACACCCGTGTATATTACACGCACATCCATGGTTGTGTGAGATGGTATTTCTCTCCGCTTCGGAGCATCACCATTTTGTTTGTCCGTTGCTTCCACGTGATTAACAGATCACATGCAGGACAGCCATCGTATGGTCGACAAGCGTACACAGTTCAGAACGGTTTATCAGGAAGCTGCACAACTTCTTTCCCACCTACAATACCATCACTCACAAATATTAGGACGTATTATCTGATCAGGATCAATACGCTTATTAACAGGTTTTGCAGGCTACGAAGTGCTTATTCCATACCAAAAACACCGTATTGCCCTAACAGGCACGATCACATCACCCGTTACTTAAGTGCACAGAAAAAGGTGCTTATTACTCCATGTCGTAGTATCGAAGCGTTCATTCAGTTGAATTCATTTAATTTAGCAGCAATGAGCGATGAAACGTTCTTTACCACCTCTTGATGATAAACAGCGCAGCCGAGCGATAGAATGTTAATATGATCAGTAAATTTATCAAATAAAAATTAAATTGGCAACATATTCAAGGTATGTGATAAATATCTTGATCTAGCATACAAATTATAAATATTGATTTCTATACCAAATACAGACAAACAAAATACCTGCTCATTCACACAATGGAGATTTTAACGACGCATTGCTCGAATTACACCGTCCGCCATCCGATTCCTCAATCAAATACGTAGATCTCCGTACCAAATGCTTTGCAAATAATTCTGGTCGTGATCAATGAATGAGCTGTTATTGTTGGTTATACCACGACAAATAGGTTTTACAAGGCGAGAGTAGCAGTTTGTGCAAAAAATATAAAATTTAACACGGTGTGCAACGAAGAACCTATGAAATGGATGTGCAACGAAGAACCTATGAAATGGATGTGCAAGGTTGCTTATACCTCAAAATACATACATCACAACTTTATCCGGCCATAAAGCAGAAATGACCATTCAAACGGTTTGTTGATGGCCTTTAGTCTGCACTATCCCACCGTACTCGTTTTCAACCTACCTCGCTCCTTCCCAATACTTGTAATACACATGACATATCGCTACCTGTAGAACTGATATCGGGCATCACACATATGAACGTATGCATCGTTGGTCTTTTTACCGCAAGAGAACAAAGGCCTTTTCTCCGTACTACTTCATCTCGCACTACCGATTCTCTACGAATAGTTCAGAAGCATCCAATTCGGCATTCCGCACGTTTCTCAGGTACAACTATGTGCTGCCCATCTCACTTATCCCCCTTACACGATGCACAGTGTATATTTTTGTGTTGCACAAGGTTCCCACAAATCTTGCAAAAACGTGCACCGCTAGCAGCCGAAACAGCAAAGCACCCCTTACACGCAATAAAGGTCCCTGCATTTCTGTAGCTCAAAAGCTGAATGTTACAGAGTTGCACGGTGTGATATTTCACAACGAACAAGGGATTGCTTTTCAGCCCACAGCGGTTGCACAGCATCAACCTGTTTGACCATTTTGATCCCATCGAGGTCAACGAATCGTTGGCTAGGAAGTATCGTACTTTGTAAAAGGACATTCAAAATTCTCTTGATCGCAATTTATGTTTTAAGTGCGGTGAAAAGGAGAGGACACCATCTTTGATTCGTCAGCAGTGATTTATCGCATCAAATTACACGTCATACATCACGTACATTTCTATTGGATTTTGCAATCGTGCAGCGATAAGATTCGTGTGCATGTTTGTAATCAACGAAAGATAACACAGCACGACATACTTTTGGTGACATTACCTGCTGTTTTACACAATTTTTGTTGCTTTGATGCTCCTCTTGTACTTAACTTACGTTATTTGCTGTTTTATGGGCAGTTTGCCTCGCTCAGCAAATGCCACACCTCGTAGGCAAAAAACCGTACATACACTTAAAGCATCCTGATCTGAAGCGCAACCGCGATGCAAAGCATATTTGTTAATTTTTATTCTCTAGGAAGGATACTTTAGGTTCAGAGCCGTTAATCAGGCATCCTTGTGATGAAAATGGAACATACCGTATTTAGGCTGAAATGAAGAAATAGCAATTTTGGCAAATAATATTATATGTTGAGATGAGAGGGTGGTGTGCTCTGCAATCACTAGGACCGATTGCTCTCACACAAATATATTTGCTCAGGCATAGCTCTAAGAAATGTATTTTTAGCACCAGTTCAAAGATGAAGAACTTTATATTACGGATCAAAGGCTGAACAGGCCATGATAGGTACTAACACATAGTGAATGCCGCATTAGGTGGTGTTTGTATGGAATGTGTGCACTAGCACCTAAACATGTTTTGTATAAAATCCTTACACACCAATAATTTACCACATGTAATAGACATTGAGCAATGGCATGCACGATGCTCTTGATGGTTGTCCACGAGCCAATAAATCTTGAATCATTTTTTAATTGAGCTTTTATTTTACACTTGGACTGACCAAAGCAGTGAATTTGGAAGATCACTTCATTCTCAAAGTATGTAAAAATAATTTAACAACTATGAAAGCTACGATACACACACACAGAACCAGAATAACGAACAGAACCAAAATTATTTTTTGGTTCGAATACGTTTTTTTCTTCACCATGTTTTTAACTTTTGTGTTCGCCACGATGTTTTTTCGCTCATTGTTCTTTACACCGGTGCTTGTGGAATGGTTATCTGAGGTGGTAGCATCGTAGGGCTCGGCCAATAAAGATTGCATGCCCTCTGATTGGTGTATTTCACTGCTATGTGCACCATTTCCATCGTTCGACTGCGAACCGCGATCACTCAGTGAAGTACGCGTGTCTGTACATTCAGCACTTACATGCAACTCTGGCAGTACTTCGGTCACAACAACCCCGTTAAACGGTTCAAGCACATTGCTGTAACCATTGGACTGAGATTCTTTCCAGGTCGTAAATTGCACAGAAAAATTATTATCAATCGTATTAGCCTGGTCATCGTACCAAAGATAAGTATCGACTGCAAATTCATTTTCCAGTAATGGTAATTTAGGGTATATTGGGCTGTATACCGTTATATTTGGATTGCACTCTGAATCACTAGCACTGGGAGACGAGTAAGTATGTTTTTTGAGTTCCTCAGAATGTTCTTGGACATGTGCATCGTTATCCTTTCCCAAAAGATTGCTCACTTCACTTGTTGAGCTCTTAAAAGACGCTTTGCCAAGATTGGTATGTTCGCTCAATGCTCCTTCGCTGCAAGGCATGGCTTCAAGCGCAGAACTCCAGCCATTCATCTCCTCGATGGTAATTTGACCTGTTGTTTTGCGACAGCTACCTAATTGTTCAGGTAAACCAGCACCATCACGAATTAAGCTTTGATTTTCTGTGTAATTAGCAGATACTTGATATGGCGGGTTATAAATCATGTCGTTGGTTTGAACATCTTCTTCTGTTTTTTTGTTCTTTGGTTGTAAAGATGCTTGAATCGGTTCGTCCACGTACTCGTGATCGAGCAATTCGCGTCCTCCAATAATACTGCAAAACTTTTGGTCGGCAGCCTGGCAACCGTACACTCGATCTTCACTCGTTTCCATGTTGTTTATTTCTGCACCATACATCTTATCCTTGTGTGTTGTAGTGCCCAAATCACCATCTCCTACCGATGAATCGACGTCTTGACCCCCGTGCTGATCACCCGCTGTGTTTGAATAATTCTCTGAGTTAGCAATTCCGCCACACTCACCAGTTCCCATCTTCAAGAGCAATAATGGAGCTAAAATCACAACCATGTTACTTCAAAAATGGTAATTATAAATACTTTTGATGTGTTTGACGTTGATATCAATTGATACGCTATTTGGCATCAGATCATTGATTCGGTAATCGAACACAGATCGGTCATTACGAATATAAGTGATGCAAAACACACGCACAATACGAACGGTGCCAGAATACGATCAGCTCCTTCATCAGTAGAAGAAACAATTATCAAAACTCGTAAAACATTCAGGTGCGCAGTAAAACGCGAACGCTTCCTCGTAGAAAATGTGTGTGATTTGGTGGCAGCATATCATGTAATTGGCGTGCCGTGGCACCTCTTTTTAGTTGTACAACCGCTTACAACCAAACAATTTTATTTAGTCCATACATACTTTTCATACAAAAATGCCATTTGGCAACACGGACCTGGAAAGATTTCTTACAAAATTGGCTTTCATTGCTGCAAGTCTCTTGCCTTCTTCCTGTTGCTTATTGATTAGATCAAGCGGAGATGATGGTGGCAATGCCGTGGGCAACGGAGTGCTGAAGGGAGATGGGCTGGGGTGGGGGAGAGAATTGGGGTGTACCGCCTGGTTGGGAAGAATCGGTAGTATTGGTGGTAGATGAGGCGCCAGTGGGTGAGGGGGCGCCAGTGGATGAGGGGGCGCCAGTGGGTGAGGAGGCGCTAGTGGATGAGGAGGCGCTAGTGGATGAGGAGGCGCTAGTGGATGAGGAGGCGCTAGTGGGTGAGGAGGCGCCAGTGGATGGGGCGTCGATATTGGTGGAGCGGGTGGAGGGGAAAACGGTGCTGCAGGATGAGCTGGCGGTACTTGTGGTGAAGAACGTTGAACCGGCAGTGACTTTGGCGTGGCCGACGGTGGTATCTGAGAGACAGAAGCCGGAGCTACGGGAACCGGATTGGCTTCAAGTCCATGATTGGAAAAGTGCGTGTGACCGTCAGGCGCAGGTGGCGAATTCATATCCTGGTCGTGGTCAAAGATTTCGTGTCCGCTATGAGAAACATAAAAATCGCCATTAATGGTTGTAACGGGAAAATCGATCGGAAAGTATCCGTCGAGTCCAGCCGCCTTCTGGAAGGCTTTATACCGTTGGGGATCGCTCAGAACAGAGTTGTATGATTTGAACTGCCCTGAAATGTCGTCTAGTCTTGCAATTTTGCGCTGCGCCTCTATGTTAGCGTTTTCTGTTGCCTGCATGGATCCGATCATGCCGATCAAGTACCGCACATGATGTCGAAGAGGCATTGTCTCCTCTGTGAACGTTGCCACGGGAATTACCTGCTTCCCAAGCACCTCGGGCGCCTTGTGCTCGTTGATTTCAGCGACATCGTCCAAGTATTTGAGGCGTGATATTTCTTCTTGCTTTGCTTCCGCCATTTCCTGCGCGATCTGTGACTCAAGCATCGCGATTTCCATCTGTTTCTCCTTTGACTTTATGTTTGCATCGTGCATTGCCGCCACATCACTTGCCATTTTCTGGTGCAGCTGGTCCAAGCCCATTCCGATAAGATTTTCCTGGTCAGCAGCAGACCCGGACACAAAAATTTCGCCTTCTCCGCCGTGATGCAATGCGTCTGCCGTGAAGAGAATGCCGTTCATACCAATGTCGCCGGCATGTGTGCCCAAACCCTTGTGGTTGTAGTAGGCACCGCCCATATTTCCGTTCACATCGTATAGCCCGTCCGGGACATACCCATGTGTGAAACCGCTGCCTGGGTTGTGAACGTTCTGTAACAAAACCGTCTGTAGGAATGAAAATACCAGGAAAAACATGCACATTATAGAACTGTTCGTCCGTGTTTATATTTGTTTTAATCTGAAACCGGTTTGAATTTTTAAGACCAATTGTTTTAGATAGTTTAATTTATGTTAATTACGCACGAGACTGTGGTTGGACAGTGTAATGAACAAAAATCACATCGTAACAAATGAACGATTTGGCATGATACACCATTTTGATTGAGTAATCTACAGTAAATGGCTAAAGCCGTCATTTCTTGTTTCCGTTTAGGGTTTAATACTTGTGTAGGGGTGTCACACAAATAGAAATGCTGTCATTTATCCCTGCCCAACGAACGAGATGACCGTCTAATACTTCTGGAAATGTTCCTCTTCCTTTTTTGCGATAGACATCATAAACGGCTCTGTGGGAAAAAAATACTTTTATAGTAAAAATAAGTAACACGTGCGTTAAAGAGCGCATATTTGGAAAAAAATATTTTTATGGATACACCGGTTTGGCGTGTAATAAATTTATAAATAGCACAGTTCTATGAAATAATGAACCGTACCAATTAACAGTGATGGCTTTGTCACTCTTAGTGAAAGATTATTAGTTCATCAAAAAATTATTTTGGTAAATCAATCAATCGGTGGAACAAACGCAGGAATAGCTGTTCAGACCTTTAAACCATTAAATTATTGCTGAAGACTGTGTTTGTGGGCACATGCAGCTCGATCTACGGTTTATCCACTGCAAAGATGTGTTCAGGCATTTGAACCCGGTAACACCCAATTACATGACCGAACAATACGTAGGTGTAAGAGGATCAACATGTCTACGCGCTGTTTTGGCCTAAACCATACGAGTTTTGTGTGAATCACATCACGGTCCACGTAACGTTACAGTGCACAAAACAAAATGAATCAGCTTTCATGTTTTAGATTCGCTCCTTGATGCTTTCGTGAAAAAGGCGTATTGAGATTCAATCATAGTAAAAACTGACCTTTCTGCTTGTAACACGGCTGAAGAGTTATCCACTGCTAGTGTGGTCGCATGCGCGTTGTTGTTTTGTTTGTAACGGGTAGTTTTGTGGAGCTGCAGCCGGAGACCGTCTAAAATTTTCATTCGGCAGGTTTTTAAGATATCGGTACCGTTTTTATACGAGAGTCCGCTCCTGTGTTGTTTGTTAATTTGACGTGCTTTCGCAGTGCGCCAGGATAGCTTGTGCGAAATGAAAATAAGCTGATTTCCAAAAATGTACTGCTAAGGTAAACTTATGAGAATAATTACATGACTAGATGCTGAAAAGATTCACAAATTATATATTTTTTATTGCATACCGAATAAAGAACTATCTCTGAGCTCGTAGTTGGTGAATGATGATAACCTGCTATCGTTTAGAAACATTGATATTAAATTTGTTCTGAGCAGCGTACCAAAAGGTTGTGGCAGCCGCTAGCAGGGAACAACCACGGTGTCCCCACGTATAAAATATTTCCACAAGCAGAAAACATCATTTCATGAAACACACTGCACGATCAGTAATTAAAAAACGTGTTTAATGTTGGAATTGGTGATCAAAGCACCGTTTTGTAAAAGTGTGCCCGTTACAAAACGAAAGTTTAGCATTCTAACCGCGATCATTTGGGCAGGGACGCTGGGGACAAAACCATGAGACAGAAATCTTTTAGAGCGTAACTCAATTACGAAGAGTGTTATCAATGATAAAACGGCTGATGATAGGTGTGTGGAGCAATTCCTTGTTCCCGTTAATTTGTGGTTCATCGTTGCACACAACGTTGTGATGCTATGTGAAACTCGTTTGATGGTGCATCTATGATGTAACAGTGGAACTGACATGAGTTTTGCATATCTTTTTTTGATTTGAAAGAAATTTATTTATTGAATCTCCTCATACAGCAGCACTTGAATAGCATGCCGTTCTTGTTCGCAGAACTGACCTTGATCCAAAGACCTTTGGATCAGACGGGAATCGATGCACTGACTCGCACAACGAACTCAGCACAACGAACTCAGCACAGAGGTATGCTGCGACCGCAGCGGTAGTCGCAACACACAGGCCATAACTTGTGCAACAGCCTCTCCCACGGGCACCCATTCCGAGGAGCTCTTCGGATAAAGATAGTTTCCAGCAACTTAATATTCACCTGCCAGAGGAATGCGTCAAAAATTGGATTTATCTTGGGCATCTCCAGAAAAGATGCCATGCAGTTTTCCTTCCATTCTTCTCGAAGAATGCATTTTCACCGTACATCGCAGCAACCAATGCTTCTAACTCCCACCAAGAAGTCGTATTGAATGGGTCATCAAGCTTATCTTTCGTGTGTAAGGAGGTAAAAACAACTTCGTACAAAAACAAAAGCTTCTACTCCGTTTTACAAACAGAATCAAAGAAGCACGTCCTAAATAACAATGCTTCGATACTCAGCAGAATCATTCAAAAATTCAGATATAACAATAAAGATGCATTTTAAAACAATGTCACAACAACGAAAAGGAACGGAAAGATCAATACGTTGAAATAGCCGATATTTCATAACTTTTTAATTGAATCACACTCGAAAGCAAGCATCTACCTCGTCATAAATAGGTCCAACACGCTCGAAGGATTTACCATGCCTTGCTTTGGTAAATTCCAGCGTGTTGGGATCAATTTCTACCAGCACATAGGAAGAAATAAAGGCGAAATGTTCAAGTGACTTGAATTTAATGCATTTTGATAACATTTTGACGAAAGGCGCGGCTTTGGTTTTGTGCATCACGGTGCAATACCGGTCTTCAAACAGGTTGCCATTGCCTTCAATGTAAAGTTCACGTATATGCGCTATCTGGTCTCGTATTTGTGGTATTTCCTCAGGCATAGACTCAAAATATATTTTAAGAACTTTAACGGATGATGGTAAGAAACTGAGTGTGCAGGTTTCAAAAACAAGGTCTGCATTGATTATTAGGACCTTAAGATTGCAACACCTGGTCATTCGTCTCAGATCAGCAATATTATAGCTGGTATTCTCGTTCATGATGTGTTTGCTAGGCTCAGAAATGTTCAATAACCTAAGATTTGGCGGCAAGCAATTGAAGAGTGCACCAGAGAACTTTTTAGTGCCAATATCAAGAATCTGCAGGTTATTTAACGCTTTAAGACTGCCATAGTTAGTCGCGGAGAGTGCAACGGATGCTAATTCAATCTTTTGAATTGTTGCTGCCTTCAAGGTATTTAAAATATGCCCAAGGATGTAATTCACCGCTGCATTCGCAGTTTCGTAGAACAAAATCTCCTGCCTACTGCACCTTTGCGGATATTCGCTTGATAGGAAGCTTGCATATTTTTTAGAAGCGTTTTCATATCCAGGAATCAATTTCATGATGTTAACGTATGCTTCAGCAGTTAGCCCTGAGTTATAAATAAACTCGCTCTCAAATTTTAGATTTCTAATGTAGATAAAACTAGAAAGCATGGATTGGACCATGTTAACACTTCGACACACGTTTTTAAAGCACAAATTATCCACACGAACCGAACCAATGATGTTAATATCAGCGGTTTCTTCCATTGAAAAGCGTATTTCTACTTCCTCAAGACACGCTAAGTTTTTGACATCAATGCTACCGCTAAAATTTTCAATTACAAGCCTTTTACACATCTTGTTTAACACGATACATGAGCTGTCTTTCATGGTGACATTCCTCAGTTTGACGTGCTCAAAATGGTCCTGGAACATCACTTGTTCGTTCAGTTCCATATTTTGGATGGAGAGACTCGAAAGATTTTGTGATCCTTCGACAGGTTCTGTCTTTATCTTCATATTCTTTGTAAAATATAAAGTTGTTCCTACCGATAGCGTCAGGTCAAAGAGTCCGGCCGAGTAGGCAATCTCAAAATATTTGTTTTGGGCACACAGCGTGATTTTAGAATCTGCACACAAAGTAACAGACAGAATCCTCACGCTCTCAAAATCACTGTTAAAATGCATTGAGCCATCAATTTCTGCGCCAAAAATGTAATAGCGTCCACCACTGGAATCTTTTCCCTTGCAATATTTTAGAGAACCACTCTAACTCGATTCTTTAATCAAAGTTATATGGTTAAGATCAGCGTGTTCAAGGATCTTAACTCTTACTGAGGTATCATTCAGATTAACGCTTTCACAGCTTTGATCAAACGTGAAAGTAACGTTCTCGTTAACTTTTGACTTCAGTACGCTGATAGAGCGAATATGGTCTGGAAACGTAATATTTTCATGAAATTGTGATTGAACAAATGATAATTGCTTTACAGTATGAGGAATAATACAGGCTGAACCGAGCTGCTTGTGGCTGAAGACAACCTCAACATTTTTAACATCCTCACGCATTGATTTAACGAAGTCAACGGATACAGACTTGGCTATCACTGTGGATAAATTTCCTATGGTACTTAAAATGCCTGGGTTAAGCGAACTGTGTATGCCATCAAATTCCAAAACGACCTCACGAATGCATTCATTTTGTAAAAACTTGCACTCAGAAATGAACGCAAGTTTGTTGTTCAATATTTCGCTCTCTGAGGTCAGCTCAGGTTTTGTCGCATCGTAATTATCACGAATATCACATATTGTTACTACTAGCGAGGATTTGGCTGCAACTCCTTGGAATTTTTCATGGAGAACGTCGCACTTGGAAGCGAACCAGTCATACGAGATGGTTAATTTCTCAATTAAACACGCTATCACTAATTTGTCTAGCGTGAACTTTTTCCAAAAATCCATATAATTGACTCTCATTTTGAGTGCCATTGCTGTCAATTCACTTTTATTCTTCAAAGCGGAAATCATGTTCGAGTTCACCATTTCTCTGAAGATTTTTGCGCTGTCACTAGTGCCGGCAACAATCGTTGATAGGTGTTTGAGCTGTTGGGTAGAGCTGCCGGGATAACGGGCAATGTCGAGCAGTTCTTGGAGGAACACGGGGTTGTTATGAAGATGTAGACAGATTGTCCATGATAACAGTAAAAGAACATCATCGTTGTATGGAAATAAGTGAGCAAATATCGAACAGATTTCTTCGTCCGTGAACACCGTATCCTTTTCTGCCGATAGATAGTAAATTTTTTCGAACGTAGCCTTGGAAAACGGCACGCTTATAATTTTGAAGCTCGTATCGCATTCGTCCTGGATTATGTCTTGGTACGACTTGTTCTTGATATCTCTGTCATGAAAGATTTTGCTCACATACGCAGTACTGTAACCGGTATATTCGTTCGTCTGCTTCATTTTCTTGGAGTCATGTCCTGGATCGCATTTCTTGGTATCGCAGAGTGTTTCTGTCGGTGGTATCGATGCACATGTTTCCAAAAAATTCTTCATTCTTGTACTTTCCAAGGTCTCAAAAACCATGTAATCCTGAGGCTGCTCGTTTGAAGTGGTTTGAAACAGCAGAATGTACTTCAAAGTAATTTCAACACAGCTATGTAAGTTGACTCGCATGGCGTGGTGTGCGAGTGTTCTTTTATACTTTTATTATATCAAATTTACCGTATTGGTACGAGCCTTTACGGAAAATTAAAGTCATTATTAATTAAAATGTTGCCTTATAAAGTAAATGCCATTCACATCATACACTGGGACCAACAGCCAAAGCATAGAGAAGAAAGAATATGACGTACTTGGACTTAAACATTGAGAGAGTACCAGCGAGACGGGAGAGTTAGCTTGGATGAAGGTGTTTGTTGTGGTAGTACATAAACGATTCCTAACAAATAATGAGTTTGCCTATGAAAATATCCGTGCAAAACATCTGAGTAAAAATGCTTTGCCATTAAAAAACTTGGTGCTGTGATTTTGTCCCTAATTACCTGCTAATTGGCATTTTGCCAATACCACCATTTAGATGGTGGCAATCGACACTCAAAACTACACCAAAAATGAACAAATGTGTAAAAATATTGTGCATCATCAGCAAACCTGAACAATGAGCTGAAGCTACTATGCTTTGTTTCATTGTATTCTGGTCCTCGTACGGCTGATCGGCCCGTCACTCATTTTCCTTTAAAGTAAAAAATCGTAATTAGCACAACCATTTTGTATTATACGCCATAACTTTGTATTTTTTTAATATGTTGTTCGTTTGGAACATTCTACACTGTTCTTAGATCAAGAAGACGTTTCGATAGTGGTTGATACATGAGAACTGTGTCCATGGTGAACAGGTACACGGAATACATAGGGGAACGCTACTACATTTATGAGAGAACCTTCTAACAGTTTCGGCCACTGCTATGTCCGGTTCAAAAGGTAAAAACACGAATGGTCCATCTGAAACTTTTATTCACGATTCCTTAGTCATGTTGCATCAACTCCAACATCTGTTTGGGCCTCACCAAATAGTTGAAAGTGACCGGGTTGTTGGTCTTCATGCTCTCTCGTTCTAATAGGGTCGGCATAATATCTTGTTTTCCGCTTGTCAACCAGCTGGCAAACGATTTTTCCGCATGGGTTGGCTTCAGCGTGGGCTTGGCAAGCTCTTCTGCCATGGCCTGATCCCTGGCAGCTTTCTTTACACTTTCGGTTGCTGCCGCTTTCCTCGCAATTGCGTCCTTCACGCTTTCATTAGTCAGCGCATCCGATAAAATTCCTTCCTGCGCCTTAGCGGCAGCCGCCTCCGAAGCTAGGGGATCGTCCATGCCGGACGAAAATGGCCATGACATTGCTAGCGTGCTGAGCATGTAAATGCAAATAATCGTAGAGTGATTCATGGAATTATAGCTTTTTGCGTTTTTAAATACATCGAGTTTGATATGTGACATAAATGTTTCACTTTCTGGTGAATTTTGTGTTGTAGTAAATTTGGCTTACAGGTTCTGACAGCAAGATTTGATGTGTTGAACTGATTTGTACTTTTCGTGTGCACCACCAATCAAGTATCGTTCTGTGATTGCTGAGGCTGATGGTGCCGTGAAATGTTTTGGTTTTGAGCAGATTAACCACGTTAGCACTCGTTCCTCGTATCAAGTTGTAGATACAACCGATGAAAAGCTGTTTTACCTTTTCTCTAGCCCTATCCGGAACGCGCAAGTTGTTTGCCCGGTTCTACTTTTCTTACTCCGTCACACGATCGGTAACTTTGTAACCTAGGCAACACGTCAGAGCGGTAAAAAGCGTTTAAAATCAATTACGTTCTATTTTCAACGCGCTCTGACGTATATTGAGAGGAAATGATTTGAGACCAGGATATACACGTAAAAATATGCAAAGCAAAGATGTGAACAGTGAAGTGTACTCTATCTGAGTGTTTAATTGGTTTACAATGTATTTCTGTTCATACGTACGCCACGTTGTAGCTCATAGTGTCCCTGCGAACGCATTTCAACTACGTCAGTTCAATGAGTAAGAAATGCACCCGAACATCGAACTTTCGGTTGTTCCACAGGACAGCTTATGGATAGGTAACTGCTTACAGAATCGTTCTCCTCACATTAACATGGCAGGTTCCTCTAACAACGACCACAATGGTGTGGTTTTGAACCGTTCACTTTTTTGTTTGCCATCCGGCACATTCTCCGTAACTCTCTCGTTTGTTTGAAACGGTAGCGATTGGTCTATCACATTGATTTGAAACGAATGCCGAGGTACCACCTGTACAGTGCTATTTATTATATCACCAGGACAATATCTGATGGCTGTGATAGGTTGGCGGCATTACCATGTGTTATAGGTTACACGGAATGCACTGCTAGTATCGTTGATATGCTGAGCAAAATGGATTTAATATCGGATACTTAGTTCCGGTTTTGGCAAAATACGGGCAAATGAGAAATATACTGCGTAAAATTGGTGCAACACTGCGTATACCAGAAGCGCAGCAGAGCATCCTGATATAATTTGCTATTGCAACATTTCATGGTATTGTTATACGCTTTGTATTTGCGCTGTAGGCTCTGCTTTGATGAAAGGTAAGACAACCTTTACTACGGATGTGTTTCCTGTGAAACCTTCAAAACAACAAGCGTAAAGTTCTTTCATAAACTTCTTTCGTATGATGTGCTGCTTCACACAGTAATTGTCCCGCTATTCTGTAAAGAAATGAAATGTGTGATTAAACAAATTTTATCTTAATAATTTTAAATTGGTGCCTCCATCATTTTTCCATGGTTGAAAGAAACATTCTTTCTTGCCATCTGTACTTTTTAGGCGCCATCTGAGAGGTGCCTGAAGTTCAATTGCTGAGACGCGCAAAAATTTTATTAATCCATAATTCACCTTTTTAAGAGCTGTTCACCCAATGCTAGAATGATGCTTACTTGTACCTTCTGAGCATTCTTCAAGACTCCTACCAAAAATGTTTTCCTATTTTCAATTGATACAACAAGTCCATACGTCCATCACAGCACGTAAATTACGTTCATTGAATTCTTCCGAGCCTGTCGTTTTCATTGGTCACATCAAGTCCATAAAATGGTCATAATACCATTTTGTCCCCTTTACATGATGAGCTTCTACTACACATACATGCTGTTTAACAGCTGTGTGGTTTACAGCTCAAGTCTTGTGTTTATGGCCATATTTCCGGTGCTAAGTATCAGGGACCTGCTGGCGAAGTACCTTCTGGGGATGATGAAGATACGAATTAAGTAGATGAGAATGGCACTACGGATTGTGTGGGGACATGGTGTTTGGGAAGAGCTTAAATAAAACATGTGAATAGAAATTAAGTAGATGAGAATGGCACTACGGATTGTGTGGGGACATGGTGTTTGGGAAGAGCTTAAATAAAACATGTGAATAGAACGAGTTCAACGATATGTAGCAGATTTATCTTTGAGAACCGGTTTATAGGCGTGTCTACGCTGCATACCTTTTAAAGTGCACTAAACGTTGTTTACCGCGTATGAACACCAGCGGTTAATAAAGAACACGAACCAGCAGAGTAATCAATCGATCAGGTATAAAACCACTGTGAAGCGCTCACTCGTACATTGGTACAATCATACCGTATATGGTAGAAAATGAGCATGGTGCACCGGTTTGAATGGTTACACCTTTAATTCACAAGAGGGTCCTTTCGTATCAGAACGAGGCAATGATATGGTGGCATCCCCACATAAAATTCTTTGTACGATTTTGCAAGTTATTTTTCGTTTGCAGCTCGTTTGTTCAGCCATGAGGACAGGATCTTTACTTCGATCCCAGCATCGTAAAGAATGCGAGCAACAACACCAGATAAAGTAGGAAATGCCTTTGAACATCGCACAAACAAGAAAAGAACGCGATGTGATATGAACGAACCAAAATTGCTTTAATTATTCTTGTTTGGTAAATGGCAGCAGAGGACGCAAAGAGTTGCTTCATCGATGTGTCAGGCACCTATTCTATTCCATCCTCGTGCAGGTTAGCACTAAAATACTTTTGGCGATGCGCCATTCCATTTCTAAGTCGCACACCAAGCGTTCTCGAGCGCTTCCTCACAGCAAGTTACGCCACTCACTTGTTCGCAGGCGGCTTCACCAAGTACCCCTCGCGTCTCAGATGCTCGGCCATCATGTTGTCCTCATCCCTCAGCGACTCCTTTTCGTGTTGTATGGCCATTTGAATCAACTCTAGCCTGTCTGCCTTCTTGGAGACAGCACTCACGAGCAGAACGTGCGTGATTAATCGCGTGAACAGCATTGCGCGTATTCTTTTGGTCGCTTTTGTGCATTTTGATGAAACCGTATGTGTTGATTGCGTATGAGAATGACGTGTCGTTAGGAGATGAACCGATAGCAGATATGGCGCTGTTTGATGATCGGTACACGTGATAATGCACGTAAAGCGGTTCAAAACCGCAGTGTGGTTCTGTTCAACGGTTGAGATGCGCCCTAAATTCCGCTCGTTTTTTTGTGCTCTGTAATTTGCTACAGAAATATTTCTGCTTTGATCCGTGGTGCCATTTTAGTGCCTCTCACGCCACCTGCCCTAATAACCTTTTCAAAACAGCTTGTGTTTGGTGCCATCACAAATCTCGTGCGCAGTAACTCTCCAAATTATTATATCAACATCATTTGCGAAAGAATGTGGTGTTTTTCTCCTCAACACGCACCAAATTCGCACGTAAGTACCGCTTAACTCCCATTCCACGTTGTGCCGTACAGCACAAATTTGCAGAGCTCAATTAATTTTTAAATCCATCACATAACCGTTTATTGCTCGGCTAGCAGATAATTAAGACAAAATTTATTTTTGGAATGAATTGCTGTGCTGTTTGCCGGCTACGTGCTCTAAAGAGCTGTTGTCCATGAACAGGAGGTGTGCATTCAACCAAGTTATTTCCACGTCTAAGCAAAACATACCGCTCCTCAGTTCAAACTTGCACGGTCCGATTCATAGCTTCCCACAAAAGCGCCATTTACCCGGTCATTTACTCGCATGGTCCGCTCGTCCTTTCTGACAGATGGTCGGGCAAGAACGGTGCTGACTGTTGCAGCGGTAATCGTTTCCTGGCAGAGGAGCGGTGGATGAAAAGAAATTGCTGATTGTTCTGTGAATGTAGAACGGTGCCTGTGCCCAACAAAAGTTGATCGGCACGGTTCAAACCGTTGTGGGGAACTGCGCGTCTTCCAGCAGCATTTGCTGAAGAGCGTGCTTCTAAATAAACCGCTTGCAGAAAAGCACATCAGCTGATCTCAGTGCCGTGATTCTCCTTCTTGTGCTGGATGAAAATCAAAGACACACGAACCGAAAGAAAGCGCAGTTCTTGCGGTTGAAGCGATGCTCCGCCAATTGTGCGTACACTCGATGAGTGATTATTCGTTTTTCTTGGTGCAATACGTTAATTAAAGGTTTTCTTCGATTTTCATGATTACAAGCTGCTCACACGCAACCAAATTTACTGTTTAAGGCAAGAATTGAGCGCTCTCCGTTCTGCGTGTAGAATGCGATGGACTGCAACAACACTTAACTGCTGCTCATGGCGCTTTAATCGCTGCTGAGAACGACCACAAAAAGATTATAACGAAGTTTACAGCCATGAACGATCCGTGATATGACCGCGTTTCCATCCGTTTTACATCCAAAGCTGTTGTGAGCGGGGATCAGAACAATTCGTGGCGGCAGTTCCTTGCCCGGCTCAACCGCCGAAGGAACCGGACATTAGCACTGCGATCAACAGCTGGTGACAGCAGAACTCGCCAACAAAATAAGCGGCTGATGCTTTGCAAAGAGGATTTGACGGTTAATTTGCGCCAAAATTTACTAAAACGCGCATGGAACTGAAACGCTCTTCACAGCGCTGCTGCGAAGATGCAAACCTCATGCCAACAACAGATTACGCTCTTCTACTCACACGTCCCGTCTGCACGTCGTGTTCTGGGCAGCACAAAATTTGAAATGTCCCCATCCCGTTCGATGAGCCGGTCAAATCGTCCATACTTCTGAGGTGCTCGCCATAATCGATGAGCAGGTCAAATCGTCCATACTTCTGAGGTGCGCCCCACAAACCATAAACAAATTTAACCTGCCCTACACCATGGTTCAAACGATCATCCCCATGCAAAGCATCCTCCGAGCAAACACAAAATTACGTTTCTGCCCAGCAGAGCCGGGCAAGAGCTAAAAACATTTTCCCAACAGCACACTTCCTTTAATTACAGCTCCTCCGGTCTTCTATGTATCATCTTGTCCAACCACTGAAAAGACTGCAAAATAGGGCTGCTCATATCGGTGATGCTCTCGTTCAGCAGACTAACATACGTCACCAGAACCGGCTGCTCCATGCTGTCATCATTCTCTATCCCCGTCTCCTTCTGTATCTGATCCATCACATCTTGGTTCTGCAGAATGCTGTTGGAGTCGTGCTTGATCAGGTCTATCTTATTCATAAGCACTGCTATGGGCGGCTTCTTCTTCCCAACCTGTATTTCTCTCACGCTCTGGTACACCTCCTGGACCAAGCAGTACCGCTTCGTGTCGTTCACATCCACTATGAACACGATGCCATCGCAGTTGTAGAAGAACTCCTGCCATGCAAGCCGTGCACTCGTGTGCCCGCCCAGGTCCATTATGTTCGCCTTCATGTTGCCGATCTCAATCTCGCTGTTCATGGGGTGGTGTGTCGGCTCGTACGTGTTCGTCACGTCCTCCTTCAGCTTGTGCAGGAGAGTGGTCTTTCCGGCATTGTCTATGCCAAGGAATAGAATGCTGGACGGCTTGCTGAATATCGAGCGTATAAAGCCTGCTATCGTATTCTCGTACACCTCAAGAATACGATTCTTTAGATTTGCGAAAAATGTCTGAACCGTGGCCATTCCAGGGGTAACAAAAATTTATTTTTTAATCTATCACGTGCCACGCCGTGCAATGAGCGGCAGCCAACGATCACAACACACCGCTTCCTGCACGTGTTCTGATAAACGGACACGCTTGTGGTGCCTCCTGCAACGAACGTGTTTTGTAATTTTTGTGTTTCAAATTCGGTGTGACGTGCCCGCACCGCAAAAGTAGCTGCTGAATTAAATTTGGTGGCAAGCTAAGCCGTTCAGACGTACCAACACGGAGCGTTTGCTGATCGAACCGATGAAGCAAACGTTTTCATGGAACAGCACCGCTCCCGTGTTCAATACCGGAACGGTGCACGGCCCGTTCAACCGTGAGTACGTGTTAAATGACCGTTCGTTCGTGTCACATCAACAAACCCTCTTCAACCGCGGCAGGTACTTTTTGTAGATTCAATCCGCAGTTTAGTCCTTCTCTGCTGTCCGGCTGCGCATTGTTACCGGTAATTTCATTGCTGGCACACCTTTTCACCATTTTTACACGGCCACCTCGAATAAATGAACACGTTTTGCATGAAAAGAGGTGCGCGCACCAGCAGCACTCCTTCTGCTTTGCACGTTGTGCAGCAACCGTAAGATTTTCTTGCAATTCCGCGCCATGTCAGATCAAAGGTGCGATTTGTTCCCTTCACTCGTTAAAACGGCAATCATCCATTAAAAACGGAAGTATCCGTGCAAAGCACTCAAACATGTTTTACCGTGTTTTGTTCATCTGCTTGGCGATGAGCCTGATCATCCATTAAAAACGTACCCGTGCTTGTGTCCAGGCCTAGTTCATTATTCATGCAAAGTAGATTATTCATGCAAAAGCACTATTCATGCAAAAGCACTATTTATGCAAAAGCACTATTTATGCAAAAGCACTATTTATGCAAAAGCATTATTTATGCAAAAGCATTATTTATGCAAAGTATATCACCCAGTTCTACACCACAAGTACGTTTGTCCTCCCCGCGCCACCAAAACAACCCTTTCCGCCAAGAAATCAATCCGGTTGCACCGTTTTGTCCCATAAAATCGGGTGGTGCTCAGAACGTAGCGCTTGGAGATGAAAAGCACGCTCGCACGCGCCCAACAACATAAAAAAGCTGATGAAATATAGCACTTTAACACACGCATACCACCCACTACATCTTTTCGCCCTCTTTGCGCTTCTCCACCACCCGCCTTCCAAGATAGGAAACCGAGTTGGCCAGCGAGTTGCTAAGAATCTCGTAGTCCGAGTTGATGAAGTAGCTCATGAAGAACACGCTATCGCATCCCTTCAGGTAGCTCTCCAGCTCGTTCAGAATGCTGCTCCTCTCTGTGCGGCTTATCACCGGCTCAAAGTCCAGCTCAACGGCGAAGACGCGCTGCATGCGATGCACGGTTAGGTGCCCGCGGAATTGCAGCTGGAAATCAACAAAGAAGAAATTTATGCCTGTCGGTGTTATCTCCCACGAGAGCATGCCCAGGTTCTCAAGCTTGGCCTTGAGGTGCGGAAGTGTTATCGGAGAGATGTAAATCATGTTGAAGCGGATGAACGAGTCCTTTTCGAATACTGCGAGGATGTTTGGAAACGTTGGTGATGTGAACACGTGGTTGAGCTGCTTGAGATAGTCGTGCATAGGGGTGCATGCTTTTGGCGATTTAAAGAAATGTGGGTGAGGAGATGGGTGAGGAGAAGGGTGAGGAGGGCGGTAATGAGAATGGCAAGAAAATGATGAGCGAGGTGAATGGCAAGAAAATGATGAGCGAGGTGAATGACAAGAAAATGATGAGCGAGGTGAATGGCAAGAAAATAATGGGTGAGGTGAATGACAAGAAAATAATGGGTGAGGTGAATGGCAGATATGGGAACAAAGAGAGGGGTGAAGAAGAAGATAAGAACGAGAAGAGATGGTTCAAGTGCAGGCACGGCAGACCAGAGGTAAAGTAAGGCAGTTGCCGGTAATGCCGTACCGCAGCAAAGCTACGTGCTCGCTGTAGAAAATAAAATGGTGAAAGGCATAAAATTAAGGTAAATTAAATATTTTGCATCAGGCACGATTTGAATGTTTGTTCGTGCAATAAATCACCGTGCTAGTGCGGTGCTAAGGAACGGTTTACTATCAAAAATTTCATCCTTTATTGCAGCAGCGCTCCGTTTCCGTTCAATAAACGCTTCGCAGGCCGCACCGATCTAAAATACGGCACAATGCGACCGCCATGCCGTAAAAGTGCTTTACATCCATCCGCATGATACCGTGCTCACTCTCACGCTGCCATTTTAAGGCTTTCTATCACGTGCTGGCCCGTAAAATAGCTTGGATAAACAACCTTTCCGAGAACTGTCACGAAGAACAAGCAGAACGCGCCACAGCAGATGGAATACACGCAGCACCCCAAAATATTAATCCTGGCCCTCAAATTATTTATGTACACCCTGCACGCGTAGATGGCCTGGCACATCGCACAGATCAGGGCCACGATGGCGCTGACCTGCGGCACAGCGCCAATCAGCAGGAAAGACGGCGCCAGGAACGCAAGCGTGAATTTCAGTGCATGCAGGTGATCGGTAAACTCATTTTCGTTCCGGAACACAACGGTGTGAAGAGCGCACAGCAGGACCGTAAAAACATACGAGAGCACGAGTATTATGCCGAACAGGAGGTGCGCGGGCACAGCATTGTCCACAAATGCAAGGGATGCTGCGAGTGTTAGCAGGGCCATCAGCGGTGGAAACACAAAAAAATCTAGGACTACGCTGTAGTTGCTGTCGGAGACCGGGGGTGGCACGAACACAAAGGCAAGCAGAAGGTAGTACAGCTCGGTTAGGAGCACGGACAGCAACGGGGACTTGTTGTGTGCAGCTGAGTCTTTCATTGCAGTTTCGGTGCTTTCGTACGTTTTCTGTATTTTTATGTGTTGCCGATGAATAAGGGGTGTCCGTTTAACGATCTTACTGAGCAAATCTGTTCTTGTAATTAAAAAGGATGTTAATTTGGTGAATTGTTTGTTAATTTTTTGGCTTGTGATATCAAATCGGTGTTTTTTGATCTTTGTGATGCTTAAAGGAGCCTGATGGCAGAGTTAGCACGGAAACATGCGTAGCATGGCAATGCGTGGGTTATGTGCTGATGGCGAAAGACAAAAATTAGCAGAACGGGAACAGCATTGCGCTCCTACGGACCGGTCCTAAGCAAATGGTGAATTATCGCGGTGCATGCGTGCTGTTGCTCCGGTATTTTGCAAGGGTGCGTTTTTGTTCAACTTGGTGTTTCTGCCAGGTCTGTAAAAACGTACCTGCACAAAAATACGAGAACGGTACCACGAACAAATCACGATTTTCCTTTTTTTCCGTGGCACTCATATCGGCAGTTGTTAAGCACGCACGTGTTCACCAAACATTTTACAAACTTTCTGACGGGCTGCTGCCAGCCGTGGTAAAAACACCTTTTACCTGTGGAACGTGCCGTTCAGCCTTTCTACCGGTACCGGTGGAGCAGTGGGAATGACGGCGGAAAGATCACCGCGGGGACAGGAGAGGGTCTATTCGTGTCCGGAAGCGAAAACCAAGGAGGAAAAATTGCGCCCTAGGGATTACGTGCTTCGCAGCAATGAACACGGCTCATAGGCGGAAATGGTGCTGTGCGTGTGCCAAAGAAATATCATGGGGTAGACCGTGTGAGAGAAAAGATTGGAGTGCCGCAGATGAACGGTAAAAAATGCAAAAGAATGGTAGAGCTGGCAATTTACCGCTTCACTTCCTCATCACGTTTAATCCGCAGTTCCTGATGTAAACAATTCCTCACCACAATTTCCCTTTCCCTAATCCCTACCGTACAAAAAGAACATAAAGCATGTGCAGTGCAATTTAACGTATTTTATACCAAAAAATGGGCAAAACTGCTACTCCACCGTTTACAACAAATATTTAAAATGAAATGCTTTTAACGTGAATTGCTCGCTTTTATACCGAACGTGCACAAAAGAA